CATAGGGTGTAAGCTCTCAACATGTTGGTCTGAAGAAATAAGAAGAATAGTGCACAATAAAAAGAAGTTTATGTAATCTATGTATGCGCTGAAGAAGGTACAATAGCCGTAGCGTTCACGTTTTGTTTGTTATACTGTAAAGCTCTCTGATATACTTTTCATTAGATTTTATATCTTTCCACAATAACAAGAAAATCTGTGGCATTTGGCTAAGGAGCAGAACCGAAGAGGATTACATAACATACAGGAAAATTAAAGGAGAAGTAAACTGAACTATCAGACAAGAAAAAGAGATTCAATGGAAAAGTGTGGAAGCAAGCTGGCTGAAGAAGAAAGAACAGCTGTGAAAAACTACTACAATAACAATCAGAGGCATAAGAAATAGTAACGAAGAATACAACCCAACGGAAGTTATAAATAATGAAGGAGGTCACGTTTATAGAACCTAACAAAATTTTAGCAAGTTGGAGCAATTACGTTGTATCATTACTAAGCGGCAAAACTCGGAACTAACGGCAGAGGAACTAGAACCTGGTATAATATTAGATGAAGTAGAATATGACATTCATACCACCCTTAGACTAAAGGCGACAGGTATTGATGATTTACCTGTTGAAGCCATCAAGGCAGCAGGAGAAACCTAAGCAATATGATTGAAGAGAATATTTCAGGTACATGGGAAAATCAAGAAACACCATCAGATTCGCAAACTGCTGTCATTATCCCACTATGGAAAAATAAAGGAAGTAAGAGGGACTGTATTCATTAAAGAAGAATATGGCTTCTCAGTCATACTGGGAAATTGTATGCTAAGGTCATTGAAAGAAAGCAGAGACCAATGATAGAGTATCCGCTTTCAGAAGCACAGACTGGTTTTCGACGCCATAGAAGTTACATAGATGCCAACTATACATTGATACAACTATAAAAGAGAACAATAGAACTTGATAAGACCTGTTTGTCGACATTTATAGACATGGACAAAGCCTTTGAGAGAGTCGACAGGAATATGTTGTGAGAATGTATGGGGGAGAAAGAGAATCAGGATTCAGCTCATTAATATTTGCGAAAGCCTACACACATTGAGTAAATGCTGTATAAGATCGAAGGCAGGATTGTCAAGAAATTTTATAGTGAGCTCTGGTGTGTGTGTTCCCGGCTGTGTACTATCGCCACTTTTTTTAAATAATATAAATGGTTACTATATGTAAGGAAACATACTTTAATCGTGAAGAAGATATGACAGAATTACTTTTCGCCGAAGACGAGATAGGCCTACCCATAGCAGAAAGTACGGAATGTCTACAGAACCACCTAAATCAAATTAATAACAAAGGGGAGGATTATATTATCAGAATAAATACTACAAAGACAGAAAAATCGTGATAGGAAGAAAGAAAGACAATTTAGAAATACAATTTAAAAAACATAGCCTTAAGACAAACAGAGGAATTCAAGTATTTTAAGAGAAATTTTCACACCCAATGGAAAACTGGACAGAAAAATTAGCTCGAGGTGTGCCAAAGCTAATCAAGTAATGGGGCAACTATCTCCCTTGTTGACACACAAGCAGATACCCCAGAGTACTAAAGTGAATCTTATCAGAACTATTTTTTGGCTAACACTATGGTGTCAGTACCAAACTTTGACACTTATATTCTCTAATAAATAGAGATGAAAGGCTTTAGAGTAGCTGCAGTATTTTCAAGAAAATACAGAATACGAAATCACGAACTCAGAAGAGTGCTAGGATTAAAGCCAGTCTTAAGATTATCAGAGAACAACAAATGAAGTGGTTTAGACACCCAACAAGAATGCCCTGGTACTATCTACCGCAGCGAGCCACACTAAAACGTTACGATGGCTATAGGGCGAGGGGAAGATCTCGTAAAACATGGAGTGATGGCATAAAAAACAGCCTTACTGAAATGAACATCAATCTTAATAGGGTTCTTGACAGAGCTCATCAACGAACCTTTCATCTCCCCTGAGGTACTAAGTGGAAGAGAAGAAGAACAATTCAAAAGTATAATGACGTAGCATTCGTGACTTCGCTGAGGAACAAGGTGGAAGAGAAAAAATAAGAAGTCAAAAGTTTATTTGTGAAACAATTCGGCGGGTTCCAAGTAAAACTCAACTAATTAAATGGGTCTATGAAATTTATTTTAAAGATTGGGGGGGGGGGGGGGGGGGGCGATGCCAAAGAATGTAGAAGAAAGGCACCGTCAGTTTACATGTAGACTTCCATAATTTACAGTCTAGGAAATTGAGTCATGTGTAGAATTTCAATGAGGTGGACAGTTTTTTTTTAGAGCGACATTTTATAAATCGTGTAAAATAAAAACGCAGACACTGCGGAGACAAATGTATACATATGCATGTAATCAGTTTGAACGATGAATGTATATAATTTCGTATAGTGCATTTCAATAATCGGTAAGGTTCCTCCCCCTCCGTCTTCTTCTACTGATGCTGCTGCTTCTACTGCTGCTGCTTCTCATCATCCTCCCTTTCCTCTATTGCTTTTCGAACCTTCTTCTAATCATTATGTTCCCCATTTCTTCTGCCACTCATCCTCCTCTTTTATCTTATTTTTCGCGCTCTTCTTCTTCTTCTTTATTGATTTATCTTCCTGTTCCTTTCCCCTCCCTCCATTTATGTTCTCCCCACTTCTCATATATGTTCTTCATTTTATGTAGACATGTACATTCTTCGGCGACAATAATTTCCGAAGCCTGAGGTGCTATCGTTACTATAATATTTTGTCCAGCTGTTTAAGCTACACAGATACAATTCTCTCTGTCTTCTTGTCTTTTCCTCCGCCTTGCATTTTCTTACCTGGACAGATTTCTTTATTTCACCGTTACTGCTTGTTTGTTTAGTTCAATGCATATCGCTTTCTTGTTTTATGTAGATCAGTGTTTCCGAAACTTTTTTGACCCACCGCCCCTTTTCAGTAGGGGTAAAAAAAAAAACGGCACAGCACCCCGTTCCCTTTTTGTTTGGAAATAACCTCATGATCATCACGAGCCACACCGAGAAGCATAGGCGGTCATTATTCGCCATCCTACACGGTCAGTAGAACATGAATCAGTTGGTGCTTTTCTCCCACTTCATGCTTGTGACCAAACCTTCAAAGTAAAAAACTCTTTGCTTTCCCCAGTCCTCTTTCATGAAGTTCTCCAGTCTATCCCTTACCTTGAAATATATCTTCTGCTAAAGAAATGCAAATTACTAACCCACCTCTACAAGGAAACATTATATATGACAATAATGACAATGACATTATTAGCAGAATCAGGAGAACGGCTGCTAAAATCATCCAATAAATGATGCCAGTGTCAGAATCTCCATGGTGGAATATGGAAGTGGATAAATGCTGGCAAGCAAAGAGGCAGGCAGAGAATGGCAAAAAGCGCGTAAACCAGGCAGCACATATGAGCTCAATACTTAGCCTATCAATCAACAAAGAACTTATACTATTAGTCACCGGACGCTGGGGTTCATACTGAGGGAAGGATCTGAGCACATATGGACATTTCAGGAGTGCAATGATCATATTTTTGCTTTAAGACAAGTTAGCGAAAAGACAATAGAACACAGACATCAAATGAACATCGCTTTCATAGATCAAGAAAAAGCTTTCGATAGAGTAAACAGAAATTTATTATGGAAAGTTCTTGAAAATTACGGTATAAATGGAACAATTTTAGATTGTGTTAGGGCTATTTATAGACAAAGTGAAAGCGCCATTAGAACAAGAGCTGGCATCACAGACTGGTTCCCAGTAACATCAGGAGTAAGACAAGGTTGTGTATTATCACCTTTACTTTTCATAATATTTATGGACAATATTAATAAAATAGACATAACACCAACAGATGTCGATAGACAGGAGGACTTCAAAGAGCTGCTCTTTGCCGACGATCAATGCATATTTCACAATGATAGTAAACAGCTGCAAGACCACATAAACCTACTACACGACAGTTGCCTCAAGCATCATATGAAGATCAATACTGAAAAGACAGAAGTCATGAGCATAGGTAGAGAGCAACAGACCATCGACATAAAGATTCTAGATGACAGCCTAAAACAAGTGCAAGAATTTAAATACTTGGGAAGTATCTTTACACCCAATGGTAAAAAAGACAGAGAGATCGAAGCAAGAATCCAACAAGCCAACAATGTCGCATACCAGCTTGCCCCAATTTTAAAACACCCTGCTGTCCCAGCTGAGATAAAAAGACAAATTATAAATACAATCTTTATACCGACATTAGGTTATCAATGTCAGACTTGGACATTAACAAAAGAACACGAGAGAAGACTAATCACCTGTGAAATGAGATGTTTGAGAATGGCTGCGAATAAAACCAGAAGAGATCGAGTGAGAAACGATGTGATTACAAGAACTATTGGAACCATACCCATCGTTAAATTTATTGAGAAGCAAAGAATGAAATGGTTTGGTCACCTAATGAGAATGGAACCAACGATGCCAGCATCAAGAGCATACAACATGAAAATCGAAACACCAAGAGGCAGGGGAAGACCAAGAAGAAGATGGATTGAAGGAGTCACGGACAACTTGAGACTTCATAACATCACGGCATATGAAGCGACTGAGCGCGCCCTGGCTCGGTTGCCGATCATCTGATAGACTGCGACGCCTAGCGGCACAAGCAGATTTTGACAAAGAAAGAAGAATGATCATATTCCAACTAACGTCCTTGCCGTTTTCGATTAGGACCAGAAGGAAAAAAATCATTAAAAATTATTGTTTTTTATTTAATAAACACGCATAATTTACCCAACAGTGTACAGTAGCTTAGTAGGTAGATGTGGATGTCTTAACCATATGCCATTCCGCCACACTAAACTGTAACAATGCTACAGGTTTGAGTCGTACACTGACTGATAGGCCCCTGATCAAACATTTTAAGCAATTGCCCAGCCGGTGTCAGATCAGATCAGATCACATAGAGACGGCGACAACAATGGCAGCGGCGCTAAGTCCAACTGATCCCAGCTCTTACTCGGAGACTGCGAAATGTCAGGTCACTTCGCTTCACTGGGACGTGGCTATCGATTTTTCAACTCAGACTATCGTTGGTTACGTTGATCTATCAGTGGAAAAGAAAGTTGAGAACCTAGAAGATTTAGTAAGTATTTTTAAAAAAAGTTTATTATAGGTCACTAAAGTAGGCGTGGTCGTCTTTAGTGCCACACAGTTAGTGTGATAATTCACCGCTTCGTACCACAAAGTTCTTGGACTTTGTGATTGCAGTGAGTTTCATTGGCTATTATGCAGAACAAGTAAAGTAAAAGTTGGAATTCTTAGTCAACTCTTTCAGTCCCAGGGGGTTAAGCATCAGAGGCCCAAAGGGTGGTAATACAATTTTTTTTTTATTTCACAGATTAAAACAGACCATACTAATTTAATTACACATATTATACATCAAAGTGGGGAGGAATAATTATAGAATACAGCTACAAAAAACAAATTGTGTTAATAATTAAATATTGAGGCTATCTTTCGAATAACGGTCCCAAATGAACTACCCAGACAGCTAACCCAAACAGAGCCTCATTACGTCCTACGCTACAAACATTAGAAAGAAAAGTATCAGGAAAATGGGGAAAGTCTACTACTTACCGATAGTCACATCCTCTATACATGACAATTGTGACACAGAAGTTCCAAATAGTGCGCGAATATCTGTTGTCTCTCGCTCTGCCGCCATTGGAACTCAGCACCACGGCTTGTCCGCGATTCTCGTTGCGGGCGAGACATGATCAGCCTGTAATGCGCGGTGTAATGTACGCGCATGACGGCTCGGACAACTTCAAATGAGCAGCTGCCACGATGCCGCTGGTAGTTCCGTCAAAAGTCGTAGCTCCTGTAAATTGTTGGCTTTTGTCCCGGCGACTATAGTGCCACCTCCGAGAGTGCGGCACGAAGGGGGCTAAACTAGATGGCTGGGACTCACTAGCAAATACTTTGGATGAAGCTGCAGGAGCTGCGGTAGCTGCTCATAGCGGCGCGGGGGATACTCTTGGAGGTGGCACTGTAGTCGGCAAATTACATATAACTCGGGCCCTGCCGTAGGATAGCGCTATTGGGAGTATTGTCGCGTGTCAGTAATTTTTTTTCGTCCGTAGTTAATCCTTGTTTTGCCGCCGTGTAATCGCCATAAAAAAATCCGTTGCGTTCCGTGAAAATGTCGTGCGCAGTTAATACTACTTTTGACAGGGTTGAATCGCCGCAAAAGAAATGCAAATTTTACATGTGTGTGAGGCTCTGTTTGGGTTAACTGTCTGTGTTGTGAGGCTCTGTTTGGGTTAACTGTCTGCGTAGTTCATTTGGGACCATTATTCGAATGATAGCCAATATTAGTAAATAAAGACACTGTATATTTACAACAATTTGTAAAATGAAATGAAAAAATTCCACTCACCACCATGGCCTCAAGGAAAACTGGTTAAATGTCTCTTAAATGAATCACAAATGAATATGAACCACTTAATAATGTATAAGTAAATTATAAACTCAATCTATACATTAGATTTTTTAGTTCTCCTTAAAACTACGGCCACTTATTATGGAGTGCGTCGGAGTTCAGTCCCCTAGCCGCATTGCAATTACGGAGTGGAAAAGAGGAAACGAAACAAATGACGTAATTACTGTGTGTTGGCGATAGATGCACTGCTGTCATAATAGGGTTAGGGTTAGGGTATTGGTACTCCTTAAAACTACGGCCACTCCTAACCCTACCCCTAACCCAAAGCCAAACGCCATCTTTAGTGCCCAAAGTTCGGAGGATAGCCAAATCTTCTTTTCTTTAATGTTTATTCTGTTTGTGCCAACTTAATTTGCTATTGCTGTACTTGTGAGGTACACATTAGACATATCCCTCATTAAAGTTTGACTCTATAAATGACTGAAACACGTCTAATTTGCAACGTTATCTAACTTCAGATAAATCTAATAAACATTTAACTTTTTTTAAATTTAAGGCTTCTAATGTAGACTACTGCTTGGCGGCCATATTCTTTTCAAACACTTAGTAACTCGGCTAACCTCGCAAATATACTATATTTTCGGCTTTTAAACCACGTTTGTAAATGAGCACGCCTGATATCAGACACAAAGAACTCGAAAGAAAGTTAAAATTATTACCAGTCAGTGGTAGATTAAAAACCTTCACTTGTCACGCATCGATTGGGCCTCCCAGTTGTAACTAATGGGTGCATGATGCATTCCCTGGGAGTCAAAGAGTTAATCGACAGATTCATTGACATTATGAATTGTCCACATTGCACATCAATCGAGTCCATAAATAAACCCTTGGGAATCCATCTTTAGTATTATGTAAATCCCTCAGCTTGTGGCGACTGATAACACCAGTTCTGTTTTGTTTTACCATTCTTCTTTGGCTGCTTGTATAGTGTTCATATCTGGCAGTGCCTAAAGTGACAGGAAGTTCTTGTAGTCTTTTGAATTTTATGGAGTCACCATCGTCTCCTGAATCATTTACTTGTCCGGCCTCCTTGAGAGCATTGAGAATATTGACCCAGTCCATTGCTTTTCCTGGAAATAGTTAAATAAAACTACAGAAGAATGAGACTGGAAGAATAAAGAGTATACAAATAGTAATATTATAAGTCAGAATATTGTGAAAATCTGTATTGTCCCTATTTGGTTAAGGGATATCATTGGTGTAGGGGAATAAACCAGCTGCCCCTAAACACACATGACGTAATAGATGACTAAGTAAAGGTCTGCAGAAAACGGTTGTGTTGGGTCTAAAGATGCATAAATCACAGACTAGCTGTCACATAACATGCCAGCCACCATATTAAAGGCTGAAATGAAGAAAAAATACTCCTTACACAGTCCAATCTGAATCAAAACCATAAGGGTGTGAACAGGATAATATTTCAAGTGATAAATAAACACATAGGTGTACATAAATGTCTGAAAGAAATGGTTACACAGATTATGTAATAGCAAAACTATAAATTAATTCTTACAAATTGTATCCCAATTATAATCTTGAGGTTAAAAAAGATTATTTATGTGTAACTTATTACTATGTAACGATAATACATGATATATGAATTAATACCCCACAAAAAACAAAAACAATTCATGTGGTAAGTTGTCTGTTACTAGAATTAACTCTTTCCATCCAATCAAGTGTTTTATTTTTTCTGAATCTTTCTTTATCAAGGATTTAGTGTCTAAAATAAAAAGCCATCTGAGTCTAACTTAGTTTAAATAATACCTTTTTGGGACACGAGAAGCTGAAAGAACACGTGAGATACAATGAGGTAATAACTCCACAAGAAAGGTCATATGAATTTGATAAAAACATCTAAGGGAACCTTGACTATTTCACTGCTAAGAGGTTTAGCATCAGAGGCCCAAGGGGTGTTAAAAAGACATGTATAATCGGTGCATCTTGCGTTCATTGGGCTTATAGGTAGGAACCTGTGAACGTATGATATGTTTCTTGGGACTGAAAGAGTTAACTTATTCAGTACAAGAAGGTTTCACAAGAGATACCATAGTGACAAAATAATCATGATGCAAAATCATTAATGCTTTACTTTTAAAGTGGCAATGTTCATAGTTGTAGCTGGGGAAGCCAGATTTCTTTGGTTGCATGGTTCTGAGTAAGTTCAAATTTCTTTCCACATGAAACATGTTCCAGTTTATTGTTCTCTTCACCTAATATATGATCAGCTGAAGAGATTTATAGAAAGAGAAACACAAGAAAAGGTTCTTGACAACCTATGGTCATGCCATGGACAGGTGTCAGCTTATGAACTGATACATTATCACACCTAATGTTGTACCTGTAGGTTGAAATTTTGTAAGAAGCATTATTGCCTTCGGCAGTCAGGAACACTTATATATCCATCTCACCTTTCCTCTGAGCACTGAATGTTGGTCATTTAGTCTGGTCACTCACTCTCCAGATCGTGCTGATCTGCAATGAGATATTTTATTTTGTTTCATCACGGTATCTCTTCACAATAAGTTATGCACAAAATTACCTATTTTTTTCTCCCTATGACCTGGTTGTCAAGTGGGTTTTAAAAAAAAATGTAACCAGGGCTGCCAGTTTACCTTAGCCTAACACGGGTTTCAAGGATCTCCACCTAGTCAAACTTGTTCATCTTGAGATACTGACTGACTCAGAGAGCTAAGCCAGCCATAGCATAGCTACCATCAGGGCCTTTCAATCCAGACATGTCTGAGGGTAGAGAACAGACAGAGACACCATGGTCCTCAGTTTTGGGGGATTAAAGCGTGTAGCAGATAGTGCCACCTTAGTAAAACCTAATTTTGTCATGAAACACATTTTTATTTTGTTTTTACTCAATTAAATTTTATAAGACAGCTGCAGGAACATTATGGCTAGACGCTTGCCTGGCGGTCTTGGATTATTTTAAAAATTAACCTGGGCTAACAGGGCAGTCCAGCTTATATATACCAGATAATGTCCTATGAAGAAAAGGAGGCCAAAGTGGTGTTGCCCACATCATTCATCAGGTGCTGATAGGTCTCTACAAATATGCCTCATGCTCCACTACTAAATGGTAGCCCATTACTAAATTGTGTAATAGTTAAGCATGTTATACATATGCTACATTAATGAAATATTATTTATATTGTAGTTTATAACTTCATTGTTTTGCACTTTAGTGTATTTACTAACTGAATTTCAGGTTTTGGATGTAAGAGATATCACTGTGGAGAAAGTCACATTACCTGGTAGTGGAAAAGACTGCCAGTTTGAAATTACCAATCCCCAAAATGTAACATTTGGGTCAAAACTGACAATAAAGCTGGACTCAGTTATAGAGAAAAGGTAGTTCATGTTATGTCAGATGTTTAGTGTTGCTTTCAGTTCTGAATAATTTGTAGTGTGTTGTTGGCTCTTACTATGTTTCGTTTATTGTATTATGCATTTTGTTACTTTTATGTATAATCAGCACATGTTAAAAAATCTGGTTAACCCATATCTTTATATTCTTACAACACAAGCAGTATCTTCTTCTGCCCTGAATCCACCCATTGGAGCATAGGCTGTCAACCAAACCTTGTCAGATCTTCCTTTTTTTTTAAAAATATCACATTTAGCTCACCCCATGTCATCCCCATCTTTTGGTCTTCACTCTCATGCAGTGTAAGTAAAGTAAAGATCCCTTTTCATGCCTTTAGGTGCATCGGGCATATAGGAAAAGCACCCCATATTTTTACAGACCAATTGGCACTGGGTGGGTAATGTGGTCAGCATTACGCTGGCCATCTTTACTTCCCCAGGACATCCATCCTGGTACCCATTTCAGGCTCGGTCGACCTGCGACACCCCATACCCTGATAAAAATCTACACAGTCAGCAGTGGGTTTCGATCGCAGTACATTGGAATTACGAGTCGGACTCGCAATGCTTAAGCCACAGACGCTGCTCATGCTGTGTGCAGTAACTTTGTTTGTTTATACAATCAACACACACCATACAGCTATTAGGATTTTAGAAACATATTAGGATTGGGTGAGTTGGGGACTCTACCATACTATGAAGCACATTAACTACCATACTATGAAGTACATTAACTACCATACTATGAAGTACATTAACTACCATACTATGAAGCACATTAACTACCATACTATGAAGTACATTAACTACCATACTATGAAGTACATTAACTACCATACTATGAAGCACATTAACTACCATACTATGAAGTACATTAACTACCATACTATGAAGTACATTAACTACCATACTATGAAGCATGTTAACAACCATACCATGAAGCACGTTAACTACCATACTATAAAGCACGTTAACAAACATCCTATGAAGCACATTAACTATCATACTATGAAGTACATTAACTACCATACTATGAAGCACGTTAACAAACATCCTATGAAGTACATTAACTATCATACTATGAAGTACATTAACTACTATACTATGAAGCACGTTAACAAACATCCTATAAAGCACATTAACCATCATACTATGAAGCACATTAACTACCATACTATGAAGCATGTTAACAAACATCCTATAAAGCACATCAACTATCATACTATGAAGTACATTAACTACCATAATATGAAGCACATTAACAAACATCCTATAAAGCACATTAACTATCATACTATAAAGCACATTAACTACCATACTATGAAGCATGTTAACAACCATACCATGAAGTACATTAACTACTATACTATGAAGCATGTTAACAAACATCCTACAAAGCACATTAACTATCATACTATAAAGCACATACCCTATCATACTATGAAGCATGTTAACAACCATACCATGAAGTACATTAACTACCCAACTATGAAGCATGTTAACAACCATACCATGAAGTACATTAACAACCATACTATGAAGCATGTTAACAAACATCCTATAAAGCACATTAACTATTATACTATAAAGCACATTAACTATCATACTATGAAGCACATTTACAACCATACCATGAAGTACATTAACTACCATACTATGAAGCATGTTAACAAACATCCTATAAAGCACATCAACTATCATACTATGAAGCAAAGCATGTTAACAACCATACCATGATATACATTAACAACCATACTATGAAGCACGTTAACAAACATGATAATAACTATCATACTGTGAAGCACGTTAACTACCATACTATGAAGTACATTAACTACAAAACTATGAAGCATGTTAACAACCATACTATAAAGCACGTTAACTGTCATACTATAAAGCATGTTAACTACATATTATGAACTCCGGTCATTCCCATGTGGGTTCTGGGGGCCCCATTATGGGGAAAACAAGAAAAGACCCACTGCTTCCCCAACAAGCATGTCCTAGGAGTCGACTGATTGGAGACTTCCTTCGAAGTCTGAGTGCATCTGCCCGAGTGGTAAGGAACAACTAACTACACATATATAAGCCAGTAAAGTGGAAGGACATGCAAAACTCAGACCCTGGCACAAAGTCAAAGTCCAACTGGACAAAAAGGCGGGATTTTCTGCCGGAACTTACAGCCAGTGAACAAAGAAGAAAAACTCCAGTCAGATAAAAAAATAAAATAAAAACTGCTTATCCATTTGCCCTTTCAATTTCAACAAACTCCTAAGTAGTCACGATTTACAACATGGTTGTTAGGGGACACTTGGATCTATCCTCCCCTCCCGCAACCCATACAGGGACAATAAAGACTTAGGAGTGCTATTTACGAATGTGGGAAACACTAATCTAGATTCAGCCAAGCTCATATGTGGATGTATACTTGCTCCTTCAATGATACATTGCTATATCCAGTTTCGTTTTTTTTAGGACGAAACTTTTTGTTATTTGAAGCTTCACCCTGGCTTTTGCCAGGGGTTGCAATATAGGCAGGCCATAAATATGGCCAATTGTCTGAACGCGGTTTCTGGGACCTCTCCACGGCGATCCTCATCTGCATGATGACACTTTGTGTCATCGGGCGTTTGTCGCTTGTGTGATGTCCTGGTGGGGTATAAAGTCAGTCAGTCTGGTTTGAATCCAGTTGTGCTTATAGAATTTAGGTCTTCTATTGTCTGTCACTTGAATTCTGCTTCTGCCCTTTGTTTTGTATAAGTGCATTTTATTATCTTTGTATTATTTAATCTGTAATTTTTTTTTTTTATCGTAGGGTTTCCCAAAATTTTATATTTATGAGGAGTAGTTATATGTAAGGGCAGACGTAGTAAGCTTCTTTATTTATAAATCCTGATATTTTAAAAAATGTGGACAGTTCAGCATCCTAAAACAAGTCTTTGGTTTTTAGTTTCACTGTCAGCATTAAATACAGAACGTCACCCTCAGCTTCAGCTCTGCAGTGGCTGCGTCCAGAACAAACTGCTGGGAAGAGGCATCCTTACCTCTTTAGTCAGTGTGAGGTGAGCCTTTATTTTCTTTGACTGTTATTAACTCTTGTAGTCCAGAAAGTCAAAGCTGATGCCTGAGGCTGGCAGTAATGACTAATAGATGAGCAAGTTCCACAGGGCCAAAAAGACAACCCTTTGTAGGAACTGAACCTGCTGTTGGTGTTCTTTAGAGTCACTCACTAAACTTATGATGTAAAAACATACATTTGTTAATTAGTTTTTATTAATTAATTGTATCCTAGCACACTCTGTGCAAGTTTGGTACTTCTTCTTATAGTCCAAGCCGTGTTGTGTTGGTAGTCATGTCTATCCACAGTCTTCTCTCTCATGTACTTTCAGGCAGTTCTAACACAGAGGATCTTTCACGCCATGATGTCACACTGTTCAGTATCTTTTCTCTCAGTCTCTCTCTGCCTCTTTTTTCCTTCACCTTTCCCACCATTATGAGGTAATCAGAATTTCTCCTTTCTCCTTCTTATAACATGACAATGAATGTAGATGTCTCATCTTCTTTCAGTCACCTAAAGTAAGTCGTTTATATCAGCAATTTTGTCTCAGATAAATTTCACTGTCATATTTACTTCATTCTGTGGTCTGTAGAGTTTACTTTCCACTGTTCTTTAATGTGTTATATTTGGTGAAGTCTTAGAGTGTGTATTCTACTGCCTGGGGTGACTTACCACATGCATACATGGCTGATGTCGGCGTATGTGGCTTAGGCATTGTGAACACGCTTCGTAATGCCGGGGTGCCAGGTTCGATCCCAGCTGCGGGCCTTGTGTTAGTTCTGACAGTGGTACCGAGAGCTGAACATTCAGTTCTCTCCCTTTAATCAGTTTCTTTCAAGATATCTTCATTACTCTTTTTATCTGCCCAAGGTGTTCTTATCATTCGTCTATAAAACAACATCTTGGCTGCTTTCAGATAATTTTTCACTAATTGATCAACTGTCCATGATTCATTTCTGCATATCAGGATAGAATTTATGTAGCTCTTGAGAATTCTCCTTCTCACCTCAGTTAACAAAGAAAGACTGCATAGAATTTTCTTCATTTTGTGAAATGCTTTCTTTGCCTGAGCTATTCTGTGTTTAATGTCTTTAATGCATCTTCCATCTGCTATCGGGTACATTCTTGGTAGAGAAAGAGTTTTTCCTGGGGACTGGTGTAGATAAGAGGTTATCACATGTTATATCTCCTGAATGGTTTTCACTTTGGTATCGCCATGTTTTTTGTAAAAATAATTTTTATATAATACCTCTTCCTAAGTCTTTTTGTGGTTAGTGGAAATCTGACAGGCATTCATTACACTAATTCACTCACTACCAATGACTGACAGTCTGTGGGGAAAAAATGCATCCGTGTGCATGACGGCCATCACACTTTTGATACAGGAGAACACCTTTGTGCTTGATTTGTTTCACTAGAAATAATTAAAGTCCAGTACTTTTTCAACAGCCCTGTTAATTGTATTAAACATGTACTAGAGATTGGCTCAGGGAATATAACGAGTTACCTAAGAACACTTAAATTAAAAAAAACAAAAAAAAACATTTTGTTTCTAGTCGTCAAGGTTATAAGGATTATGAGTAATACTTCAGTTTTGCAGGTGTTTTAGTGATATATATTAATTCTGTCATTTTATTGCATTAAGTTATAATAAAAAAGTAAATACTGTCATTTTACTGTAGGCAGTTATATTATGCCAGTTAATTTCCGTCATTTTATTGCAGGTAATTACAATATATCAATAAATTACATCATTTTATTACAGGCAATTCATGCAAGAAGTTTATTTCCATGCCAAGACACACCATCTGTGAAGTTCACATACACAGCCAAGGTAATGAGAATATCACATGTGGATGTATGTTTAGGAGCTCTGCTTAGAATGAGTAATAAGAAAAATGAATAAGAAAATGAAGCAATATTTTACCTAAAGTTTGTATTTGAAGAAATTAGCAGTCAGTAGTTACTGGCCACGGCTGTTGAGTTTACCGTATGTGTCGATTCCTTCCCTTCAAAAAAAAAAATATTGACCCATTCTGTTTTTGGGGTTTCAGCTTTTGTCGAGTTTGCTGTCTTGACAGTTGCAGTCCCCTGCTGATAAGATTCACTCTTCCCAAATAGTGAAGAGCCGGGATCAAAACAGTGCGCAGGGCAGCGGGGTTGAGGCTGCCAAAACTATTGGTCAATATCCCGCCCCGACATAGCACAACCACAATACACCCAGCTCCCATGAAAAACATGTAGTATCCTGCGTAGGAAATGCGCATAAAATAGCAGCCCATGATAAGGGAACAGAACAATTATTGACATATCACAACCAATGTTTAAAAAAAAAAGTATTCGCTGTTTTGAAAATGGAAGTCCAGTAAGAAGTTACTGGAGATACTGAGAAATGTCACCAAGGTCTCATTATTTGATTAAGGTAAAATTTCAGTTGCACATTCATACAGTAGAGAAAGCACACCGTAGTGTAACAGAAATAGCTTTAGGTGCAGAGTGCCCACTGAATTAAGTGGACACCTCTGGTGTGCCCTTTGCTTTCTTTGCTAGAGTAGGGGTGTTTTGATGGTGTGGTGGCTAGACACTCTCTGGCCTGATGGCTTGGGTTTGAGACTGCATCAAAGCAGATTGTTAATGCTGAGTAAAGAATTAGCAAGATAACGGATTCCTCATCAGAGGAAGGTAATCAGTATACTTTGGTCACATCATTAGAAGGCAACATATATAGTAAACAGTGACAGCAGGAGAGTTGCAGTTGAAGAGAGGCAAGACCAGAAGAGAAGATGCTGAACATTTTGGCATGGAGGAACATCTGTATCAGTCATATAACTTCAAGAAAATCACTTCATTGCCCTAGTTGATGCCAGAACAGATGACTCAGTACCTCTCTGCAGAAAGGCTAACTGCCTGCTGAGAGCATGGCAACAAGCACAAAGTCCAGTACAGATCCTCTAGGACCTGTGTAAAAAATGAACAGTGCATGCTTGAAATGAACCAGCTACCTACAGAGAAGTATGAGGCAAACACTTGACCACTTTGTCGTAGAGATTCTCTTCTGTGTGTATATATAATATGAAGCCCGGCTCTCTAGTGTAGTTGGTTAAAACCTGACTTTCGTGGTGGTCTGGTGATGAACTCCTTGCGGTCCGGGTTCACTCCCGGGGGAGGCAGAAAAGCCACTTTTCTCCCAGATTAACGGTACCTATAATGGAATCAAGGCCGAAGGGTTGCGATATCCAAAGTACCGAGCCAAAGGGTTTACAACTCATGGTTTCTGAATACTTAAACAAAAATATAAATAATATGAAAACATCTACGCCTCCCACATCTTTCAGTGGGGTCTTGTTACACTAACAATCTTGTCCTGCAGGTTCGTGCACCAAGGGAAATAACTGTGCTGATGAGTGCTGTAAGGGGTGGTGCTGAACCTGCATCTGATGATAGTTCTGACCTGGTTACTACATTTACAATGTCAGTTCCTGTTCCAAGTTATCTTGTAGCTATCGTAGCTGGAGATTTGGAGTCCAGGTTGGTGAATAACTGTCTACTGTATAATAGCATAATATTTGACTGTATTTAATAGAGATCCTTCCCGAAAGGTTCAAATTAGCAATGGATGAATTTTGGCAAAGTGACTGGATCCTAGGTCAGTCCAACCTAAAAATAGACATCAGGAAATGTCATGGGTAGTAAAAGTGGTTGGCATTCTGTTGACCATATCAGCAGTTGAAAGCTAATTTGTCTGTAAAAATATGAGACTGGCAACATAAGTCACTGGTGTGTATTGTGTAATAAAAAAAATGTTAGCAATGTATTGTGTAATAAAATGAATGTTAGCTGTGTAGTGTGTAATTAAATAAATGTTAGAGGTGTACTGTGTAATAAAATGAATGTTAGCTGTGTACTGTGTAATAAAATAAATGTTAGAGGTGTACTGTGTAATAAAATGAATGTTAGCTGTGTACTGTGTGATAAAATAAATGTTAGAGGTGTACTGTGTAATAAAATGAATGTTAGCTGTGTACTGTGTAATAAAATAAATGTTAGAGGTGTACTGTGTAATAAAATAAATGTTAGCTGTGTACTGTGTAATAAAATAAATGTTAGCTGTGTACTGTGTAATAAAATAAATGTTAGCTGTGTACTGTGTAATAAAATAAATGTTAGCTGTGTACTGTGTAATAAAATAAATGTTAGAGGTGTACTGTGTAATAAAATGAATGTTAGCTGTGTACTGTGTAATAAAAATAAATGTTAGAGGTGTACTGTGTAATAAAATAAATGTTAGAGGTGTACTGTGTAATAAAATAAATGTTAGAGGTGTACTGTGTAATAAAATAAATGTTAGAGGTGTACTGTGTAATAAAATAAATGTTAGAGGTGTACTGTGTAATAAAATAAATGTTAGAGGTGTACTGTGTAATAAAATAAATGTTAGCTGTGTACTGTGTAATTAACTAAATGTTAGCTGTGTACCGTGTAATTATATCATCATAACATTCTGTTTTTAGCTTTTTGTTTGTTCCACTTTTAAGTTGAGTTATCTATGCGTCTAACTAATGCCACTAGTATGTGCAGTTAGTTGAAGTTTTAACGTTGACTGTTGAATTAATCACCAGCATCATAGCACTCGGGACACTTCCATATGCGCTCCCTCTCCATCTTCAGCAGCAGGTGAAGAGTTCTAGTTACAATGGCACCAGAAACTGTGTGATTGTACATCCATCTTGCCCTTCCCTTGAGTGTTGAACGTCTTGTAATGCGTCAGTTAACCACCAAATGGTGCAGAACCAACCAGTCTATCTGTCTGCTCATTTCCCAACACACCAGCATAAACCTGGAGAAAATATCTAAACTAGGCTAACTTCCTGGGTTTAAAATGAATTTTATATTTCTTAATTTCTGTATTCAAAGAAAGATTGGGCCAAGGTCCAAAGTATGGTCAGAGAAGGAGTTTGTGGATGCTGCGGCACTTGAATTTGCTGAGGTGAGTCGTTGATCTATCAGAAATGTTTTAATATGATTAAAATCAGATAATCATCGTTGGTGCATTGTCCAACTGTCAAATATTTGTGCTAAAATTCGTAGTAAGCTATCATAACATTGACAGAGTATGGAGAAGCATTCATAGAATAATAGAGTATTGAGTAGTTGTTATAGACTGGCTGGGCATTGAAAGGCTATAACAGAGTAAAAGGGTATTGAAAAACTAATTGATATGACAAGGTATTGAAAAACTGTCATTGTGTGACAAAGTAATGAAAAGCTGACACGGTATTGAAAAGCTGTCATAGACTGACAAGAATGGAAAAACCGTTATAGACTGAAAGTATTGAAGAGTTAACATAGACTAACGAGTATTGAAAAGCTGTCTAGGGCTGATAAGGTATTGAAAAGCTGTCTTGGGTTCACAAGGTATTGAAAAGTTGTCATAGGCTGACAAGTAATGAAATGCTGTTATAATCTGACAGGGTGTTGAACAGCTGTCATAATCTGGCTGGGTATTAAACACCTGTCATAATCTGTCAGGGTATTAAACAGCTGTCATAATCTGGTAGGGTATTAAACAGCTGTCATAATCTGGCAGGGTATTAAACAGCTGTCATAATCTGGCAGGGTATTAAACAGCTGTCATAAACTGACAGTGTATTGAACAGCTGTTATGCCCTCAAAAGGTATTGACAAACTGTCTTAACCTGGCAAGGGCAGGGTTTTGCCTAGACTAAATCTCATAGTTTCTAAACCTACTCACAGATTGGTGTTTATGGCATGCCTGACTAAGTTATTTGGATCCTTGATGGCATTACTGCATTTGTGCACTGTGCTGAGAATCACTGGAAAACTGAGGTCACAGGGTCGCAGGCAAATCTGATCTGGCTGGCCAGGTGGGATGGGACCAAGAAAATAATAAGAAGGGAAATTCTTGATACTTGTGATAAAACTACAGGACAGAAAAATAACATTTAAAATCTGCACATTTCTGTTAACAAAAAAGGAAACCCTCTGAAGGAAAACTCAAGAACCCGTAAAATTGTTAAAAAACATGTTACAAATAAATTGAAAACAATTTCCTTTATCTAATTTTTTAAAAATTGTTTAAAAAAATAAAAAAAATAATGAAGGGCAGTAATCATTAAATATGACTGAAGCAGAGAATTAAACAATTTCTTGCCCCTGGGCCTAAAACAAATTCACACTGAGGCTTGTACCATGATTTTTGACCCTGATTACTAAAGGCTAAAAGGGAAATATCACATCATAATGATTAAAAATGCCACCCCCTCCATTGTTAGTTTGAAAGCTACAGATGTCTACAATGAATCTTAAATATAACAAGAAGAGAAAGGATTAGACATGACAATATCAGGAAACAGGTTGGTCCAGAACCAGTGCTAAACTATATCAGGAACAACAGATCAAATGGTTTGGAAATGTAACAAAACTGTCACAAAATAGTGCTCGACAGAGGGTCCTGCCATTTAGGCCCGATTGAAGCACAGCTAGAGGTCGCCCACTCAAGCAATGGGTCGTTGAAATGTCTGAGGCTGTGAATAACAGTATCAGTGTAGCACACAACAAATCTTGTGCTAAATGCCTCTCCAAAACCTGACGCTGAGAAGCAGAACACGGTTTAGAAAAGAGAAAAGAAGAAGAAAGCTGAGATGGGAATCTCCTTGTGATCTATCAAAGGTTGGTGCACCTAGGCAGTTATTCATGGGCCCAACATGTTGTAATTGTAACAGGCTCACAGAGCGGGTTTTGGAAAATATAATCTCAATCCTGCGCATAGAGTGGCTTGCATCACTTGATAAGAATCTCGATAAAATCTTCTTTGTGTTAGATTTTGGATGTTCAGGTCAGATTTGCCTGTCTGAATTTACATGTCAGCTGCAGGTCTTTTATGGTTCGCTGTAGCTTGCTCTGCACACTGCTCTTAAAGCCAGGTTTCTCTTCATAGTGACTGTGATCAGGAGCATATGGATGTTTTCTCCAGGATATTCTTGTGTGCAGGGTAATTAACAGACTGATAGACTGGCTGCTGTCACTCCTCTGGGCAGTGAGATACTTTACGGTAAAGAGGACATGGTAAGATTCTCTGGGATGAAGTGGACAGTGCAACAGAACAGAGTGTCCATACCCTGAAGGTCTGATTCAGCTGGAGTTGAGCAGAAGTTCTGGTCGATATTCAGCGTGAAGGAGAGAACAGGCAGACTTTTAATCAGATTGTAACTGGCATTAGTAGCATAGGGACCATTCAATGGCTAATGGGAAAAGAGGTAGAATTGTGTGTGAAGGCCCTGAGTGCAGTGATGACACTTTTTGATTCATTCATTCATATTCGTGATATTCGTAAAATGATGTTTAACCTGAGACAAAACTAAAATCAAAACTTTGTGCTTCTAAAAAATCCACACTGCCAGACAGAGACTATGCTACAAACAGCTGAACAGCTGATGGGGCCGTATGTTTGGGGCATCTATGATCTGCTAGTGCTGCCTCCAAGTTTCCCTCTTGGTGGAATGGAAAACCCATGTCTTACATTTGTTACTCCAACTATTCTGGTGAGGAATTGTTATAACTGTTATTTGCTAATTTATTTCTCATTCACACTAAAACCAAGTAAATGAACCTTTTCAAGCCTTTGGCACATCTAGACACATATTTGTATAGACTGATTGGCTTTTGGTAAGTGAACCTCATGCCAAGCACTGCTTCCTAGGACAGGGCAATTCAGTTAAGTTTACTCAAGGACCAAAATGTTGAAAATGGGGTTTGTATGGGGCAGAGGCCCATGCTCCAGCATAGAAAGATCATTAATACAATAAACTGGCAATGATCTCCGGGCCAATTGCTAGGTCTCCTTGGGCCAGATTTGGTCGATGCCCAGCCATTTGAGTATCCTTATCCTCGGATGTTTCCTAGTACCAATTTTAGGCTGGATTAACTTGGGAATCCTAGTTCAATTATAAAACATTGTTCACTCCCATAAATGAGACCTAGTTTAAAAACAAAATAACAAACAAAACACCCAAAATGGGCAAATGAAAATTTTTTGGGTATTTTTTTTACGCAATTGGGACATGGAACATATGTTATTAAACTCATATTTTTATAGACTGACCAGCACTCAATGTGTGATGTTGTCAGCATCATGCTGGGGACTTTATCATACTATTTTTAGGTTGGATCAACCTGAGACCAATTTTTAGAAAAAAAAAAAAAAGTCAGCTACCATGCAGATTAAAACCCAAGACTTTCAGGCCACCAGGTGAAGTTGAAAATGGGTGCCAGATCATTTTCAGAGTTCTCTGGAAAGGAAGGATAAAGTAGAAGGAAGCTGCCCCCACCCTTCTCCCACCTCATATGTTGTGACTTAGAATATATGAAGGCCTGACACTTCCCACCTAAATGGCAGTATCTACTATAGGACCTCCTTTACAGTTTCTGAGGTTTTCTTACCTCAGTCCTTACAGATCTGCATTAACCCTTTGGCCCTGAGGAGTACATAATCTAGCATCACCTTCGGCTACTCATCTAAACTGGTGTTGCTGCATTGGCCAGTCCCTGACAAGCCTAGTTAATAGCTTTGGTTCTTTTGGCACCTGTGCAGTGTTGAGGGAGGTTAGAATGCTGAGCTCTTAAGCAGGAGACACGGGTTAAAATCCTTGTTAAGGCTGGGGATTTTTTCTCTCAGGGCAAAATAAAATCTTCATCGCACAGTCATAGTGACAGCACTAGACTTATGGCTGTAAATCCCCAGGCTCAAAGACCCCCTCTTCCCCGCCTACACCAGAAAAGTGGTTTAAAAAAGGCAGATGTTGTTTTTTCGTGCAGTGATTATGAGGACCAGCGTATGATTATATTCACTAACAATGGAGGGGGTGGCATTTTTAATCATTATGATGTGATAATTCCCTTTTAGCCTTTAGTAATCAGGGTAAAAAATCATGGTACAAGCCTCAGTATGAATTTGTTTTAGGCCCAGGGGCAAGAAATTGTTTAATTCTCTGCTCCAGTCATATTTAATGATTACTGCCCTTCATTGTTTTTTTTTTTTTTTAAACAATTTAAAAAAAATTAGATGAAGGAAATTGTTTTCAATTTATTTGTAACATGTTTTTTAACAATTTTACGGGTTCTTGAGTTTTCCTTCAAAGGGTTTCCTTAGTTAGAATCTTTAGCTGACATCTGTTTCACTTTCTTCTTGAAGCTCAGAATAAAATGAATCTGATGTTGATATTGAGATCTTTTCTGAGTAAATAAATAATAAATCCAGCTTCAGTTTGCTTCTCAGCAACTTATCTATTTCTTTCTTTTTTTTCCCATCAGAAGTGAGATTTTTAAATTGTTTACGGTCCAAAGGATCACACTTTTTGCATCAATTTTTATTCGATTTGGCTGTCTCTCTCTGCATAGCTGCTGTTTTTTTCTGTTGACAATGTCACACAAAGCATGAAACACCAAACCTCCAGCAAAAGCGCTCTTTAAGACCCTAAGCTTTTGTAAACTGAATAAATGAGTCAGATGCCAAACCTACATATTTCAGAAAGTGAGGCAAAAAATGTAAGCACTTAACAACAGTGAGGTAGGGTTGCATAACATTCTTCATATTAACGTTAACTGGCTATAAACTCTGCCAGAAAGTTCTGATTGTTCATCTAGACTTTGATCTCATTCCAGAACTTGACTTTTGTGTCCACATCCATTTTACATGTCTAGCTTATTTATATGTAGTCTATTGGTTCCTTACCTCTCTAGCAGATGCACTCTTGACTTCAAAGGAAACTCCCCAAATCAGTCACTTTGTACAACAAACCTGTCAGAGACACAGTGAACCTGTTCATTTTTTGAATCGGACCCTAGAACCAACCGCACACTGGGAGTTACATAACTGATAATGGACTTTAAATTTGAAATCTGTATTTATATTTCATTATGGCAAAAAGCTGAGCAGTTATTTTGACCAATAGGCAGGAGACAGATCTTTGGCTGATGTTATAGCTCATGAGATATGCCACAGCTGGACAGGGAACCTGGTCACCAACAAGACATTTGAACATTTTTGGTAAGATTAACAATCTTTTATCATGTAGAGAATCACAGACTGAGTTATTAATAGTATCATGACCCAGCAGTAATTTTTCTAGATTTATTGCTTACCTACAAAGCTTAACTCTTCTTGTTTCTTCTTCCTTTTCCTTTTTTTTTTCTCTGTCATTTATCCTCCAGTGGAGCATATGCCCCCTACCTTCTTCTTTGTCGTCCTTGAAAGGGCAGTGCGCATGTTGTGTTATGGTTTACAGCTGGGCTGTGATGTCTGAGCCTTTTGGCCCACACATCCTATTTAAGCAAACCTTAATTAACCTTTTATAGACATGCTTGTTATGGACTAATGGATTTCTCCTTATTTTCTCTAAAAAAAGGGGCCTGTGAACATAACACGAGGAGCCCTCTACCATCTCACACTGTCTTCCAATCGTTTGCTAGCATGTGTAGCTCACCACTTGTCCTTGTGTTTTTCATTATCTTCTGATAATACCATGTACAGAGAAGAGAAGAAAGACTGACATTTTAAAAGACTTGAACATCAAGGAAGATTGGCTAATAAGCAGCATCTTGTCTCAGAAGCTGAAATATTTAGGTCATATCAAGCACCATCGCGGATTGGAAAAAATAATAGTATAGGGCATGTTACCAGGAAGGAGGAGCAGATGCTGACCATCACAGAGATGGGCACAGGATGTAACTGACACCTTGAAAATGAAAGTATATGAGGCGGGAGAGATGGTGAGAGACTGAGTTTCTTTCAGGCTGACTGTGATGAGAGCAACGTTCTGCAAAGGAACTGTTACATGAAGATGAATTATCTTCTTCATGTTTTTCTTGGTCTGCCTTTGACCTGATGCAGCCTTCAGATTGCATCTCATGTGGAAAACACAATGATTCCATTTGTCTACAGAACAGTTTGTGACACATGAGTAAACAGTGCTCATCGTCATTGTCTCTTTATACCATTATATGTCGCGTAGGGCTCACAGTCTGTGTTTTATTCTGTTTTACCCTGTGCAATCACTTCAGTATCCTTTAGGGTTTCCAGTCCAGCATCTTTAGCTTCTCTAATCAACCTTCACCTTAGGGTTTCTCTTAGACGTCCTCATTTCCTTAATCCCTCAAATACCCATTTTATTGGCTGATTAGTGATTCTCTGTCTCCTCTCACGATGTGTCCAGTTTAACTAGAGGTTGTCCATACGTGTCTCTTATTTCTTCACTGCTCCTTAATTCATCCTATTTCATGTTCATCACTTTCCTCAGACGTTTGTTTTCAAAGGCATTTAAGTTTCTTTCCATATGTTTAGGGGTTCTCCAGCATTCACTGTAACAGTGCTCATACATGAATGCAAGCATTGATTAACTAGTTCCTGTTCAGATTAGAGGGAGTGAAAATAAATTACAGACATTCATTAACTGGTGCTTGCGCAGAATAGAGGGAACTAAATGGTATGATAGAATAACTAATGTAGAGCTTTGGGAGAGAATTAAACAGGCTCCAGTGGACCAAGAGGCGAGGAAAAGATGCTGGCGTTGGATAGGACACACACTGAGAAAACAGGAGAACAGCATAACTAGAAAGTCTTTGCATTGGAACCTACAGGGGCATAGGAATAAAGGAAGGCAAAAAAACACATGGAGAAGAGAGCTGGAGAATGAAGTTAGAAAGATGGGGAGGACATGGGGAGAGCTCCATGCAATGGCGAAGGATAGAATGACTTGGCGTGAGTTAGTTGAGGGCCTATGCTCCATTGTGGGATAGAAAGGCAGAAGAAGAAGAAGAAGAGATGGTATGAGAGAATCACATCTTAGAATTTATTTGTCACTCTGTCTGGTAATCTCTGCAGGTGAGTGTAATGTAAAGTTTTTTTTAATGCAGCTTACACATTGGGCATATCATGTAAGGCATAATAATTTTATAGACTAAGCTTCTGTTTGTAATTATTTTTGTCATTTTAGGTGACTTTTAAAATGTTTGCACACTGATACACATGACTTGGTAAGCTTTTCAAGTGAGTCTCATCTATCTCTAGGCTCAACGAAGGCCACACTGTGTTTTTCGAGAGGATGATCTTGCAGCGGATGCATGGAGAACTCCACCGACAGTTACATGCACATGAAGGGTTCCTTGATTTACAAACAATGGTCAGTTTATTGTCTTACCTGGTTATGTAACATAATAGAACATTTCTTTCCTCTTCTTAGCGTTCACTGGCTGTAAACTCCAGCAGAAAGTTCTTGCTGTTTATCTGCTCCTGGACTTCATTCATATTCCAGAACTTAAGTTTTGCATGCACATCCATTTTACAGACTTGTTTCTTTGTATGCAGGCTGTTGGTTACAGTTACTGGTACCATCAGAATTAGAACTCTTTGCTTGCTGCTGAAGATGGGAACGGAGCATTTATGGGAGCGCCCAGAGTGCTATGCTGTCAATTCTTAATTCAGACTGTTGGTTCCTCACTTATCAGGCAGATGCATTCTGGCTTTGAAAGAAAGAAACACCTGTTGCTTAGTTTACTTTTACCACATGTGGGTTGAGGGAGGGGAGGGAATTGGGAATGTAGCCCCTCCCCCTTACACGCATGCACACACACACACACACACAAAATGGGACCCCTGACACAAGAGTTTTTAAAAAGTAGAGGATCCTTGTCATGCCCGGCCCACATTTGTATACACAAGTTTACACTCAGTGAGTGATGTGGTTGGCATCACACAGGCCATCGTTACACCCAGGTGATTGTCTGGTATCCATTTTAGGTTAGGACACTTTGGGACTTTTTCCTCTTTAAAAAAAAAGAAATTTTCATAGGGATTAGCAATATATTACATTCTCAACAACCGTTTTTTTTTTTTTTTTTTTTTTACACCACCCTCTCTGTCTTTTATTTTAAGGGGAAATTAATGTAAGCCAAGCCCGTCAAAATTCATGGGCCTGAAAGAGTTAAGTCATTAGCCTCATGCTCTCAAGATTGCAGACTTGGGTTCGGACTCCACTGACTGGTTCCTCAGTGTGGGTGTTTCAGGGATCCCTGGGTTCATTACCGAAGCTGCCCGTATGGGATTTTGGGGCAAAATAAAAATCAACACCAAGAAGAAGAAGAAGAAGAAGTACTTTTAAAAACAGAAATCTTCTCTGCAGGTGGACACTCTGACAAAAGCTGGAAATGCGCCTTACACAAGATTGGTTCCTGACCTGAAGGGCGTGGATCCTGATGATGCCTTCTCGATTGTGCCTTATGAGAAAGGGTTCTCACTCCTCTATCACCTGCAGACAATATTAGGAGGACCAGGTAGTTGCTGTTCTTCTGCATGTATGAATCAAATATACAAACATATACTTTTCCCACAGAGTTGCCAGGTCAGGTAAATACAACAGCACAAATTTAACTTTTTTGTGGAAAAAATGTATTCAGATATGAACTGAATTCATTTTACAGAGTGAATTAGCTTCTCCTATTCATATGGTCCATATCGCAGCTGCTTTACTTGCAAATTAGATATTTTTATTGTAGCTTCAAACTTATGAACCTCTAGGCCTTTCGTCATCATCCTGCTGTGCCATTGTACGTCATGTAGGGCTCACAGGCTAGTTTTTCATTGTGTCTATCCTGGGCAGACCTCTCAGTATCAAGGATGAATCGAGTCCAGTGCCTTTGGCCTCTCTTAACATGCATCTTATAAATTATATGCAACATCCTCGTTTCCTTACTCCATATGTTTTCCCTTCTGGACTATTACAGTATGTTTATTTGTTTAGTAAAGTAAAGTAAAAGACCCTTTTCTACACCTTTTAGGTGTATTGGGCATATAGGGCTAGACCTATATTTTATAGACCGCATGGCACTTGGTGGGTTGTGTGGTCAGCATCACACTGGCCGCCTTTACTTCCCAGGACTGTTACCTGGTACCCACTCATGGCTGGGTCGACCTGGGAGCCAAGGTCATTTTTTGAAAACAATCTGGCTCCCATTAGGAACCGAATCCACGACCTTCCGATCCGCAGGCAAGGGTCTAGCCACCAGATCACAGCGGCTCTCCATTTGTTTAGTGCAGACACAAATTGTCATCACATTTTCTGTGTAGCAAGGAGCCAGACACTATTGAAAGATGCCAAGTCCATAAGCAGTCCCCTCATTTTTGATTCTAGAACAGCTCCTGTGTAGAGAAATTCAATATAGTTAGCCATCATACCCAGGAGGGAATACAACCATTGACACTTCAATAACTTGAGCACTAACAAATCATCTGCTTTTATGGGTGTTTCATGCGGTGGTTTTTATAGCACTTGTGTTTCACTTTTTTTTTTTTTAAATAGGTCTATCTGGCTTTTGAGAGCCATGTGGTGCAGCGTCTAGACGCTCGCCTGTGGATCGGAGGGTCCTGGGTTTGGGTCCTGGCAAAAATAACCTTGGCTCTTAGGTCGAGCTTGTCTTTAGTGGGTACCAGGTACAGTCCTGGGAAGTAAAGGCAGCCATGTGATGCTGACCACATCACCTTTAAAATATAGGTTTGGCCCTATATGGCCAGAACTCCTGATGGAGTTGAAAAGGGTCCTTTATGTTACTTTTTATCTGGTTTTTCTGACCTCCTCCCAGCCAGATCACATTTTAATGCATCTGTTATCTTTCAAGGGTCTTTGACACTTTTCTTCTTCTATTAAGGGTTGTCTTTGATGGTGATATATCTCTTATAACCATATTTCTCTATACATTTGGACAAAAATAAGTCTTTTGTTTGATCATACAACTGACAGCTGCTGCACTGAGAGCTGTTGTTCTGTCCTTGTCCTTGTATGTTTGTGTGAAGTCATGATCTTTATGCTCTTTCTGAGAGTCATGTCTATCTCACAAAATGACTTTATCACAAAAGATGAGTAGTTGAAACATGAACTTCCCTAACCAAAAAGAAGCATGAGGCAATCTTGGATGATGCAACAACTGCATGTTAGCAATTATTACATTATCTCATTCACACAAAATGTATGATGAAAATCTGTACTTGAAATAAAATAAAATAAATAAATAAATACAAGATGGCAGCTTTCCAATATTCAGTAAAAGAAGCACAATATCAAGTTGCCGTTAACTTGCACAAGAGTGTAGGTGGCAGACAGCTCAAGACGTCTGTGTCTGTGCAGTTGTATTTTGTTGTATTTCTTTTCCACATCATACATTTCATAAAAACCTTACCCCAGTATGAAACACATTTAAATCCTACCCCGGCTGTAGTCTGGGACACTAATGTAACCTAACGGTTGAACATGGTTTCTGGGACTTATACCCTGGTGTTTCTCATCTCAATGGTGGCACTTTGTGTCACCAAGTGTTTATTACTCGTTGTGCAGTCCTGGTGGGGTTGAACGTCACTCATCTATTATTACTGTGTGCTGGGCATTGTTGGCTTCTGTTAACCACTTCTTGTGTAGTTCAGCTGTTGTGTAAGTGCTGATGCAGATGCTGCTGAAAAAAAACATTTATGGCCTCAGAGCGACACACCCCACCCCCCCCCCCCCCCCCCCCCTTTTTTTTCTTTCTTTCCTTTTCCTCTTAAAGAATTTAAGATTTCTGAAACACCTGCACTGGTGAACTGATGGATGGAGTCCGAGACTGAGCTATAACTTTCAGAACACAGCTGAACAATCCCTTCACTGTCAAGAACACAGGGTGTATTAAAAACTCCAAAGAGAGATAATCATGTCTGTTAGGACAAATTTATATGTCCTTCAGAAGTTAATGAAAATGAAATGTTATTTGCAGTTTGCATGTATTTAACTTTCTTTCATTATCCTGTAACTCTGTTTTGTTGTTGTTGTTGTTGTAATAATTACAAATATTTGGCTTGTTTTCACATAGCTGTCTTTGAAGCATTCCTGAGAGCTTATGTTGAAAACTTTAAATACAAGTCCATTACTACGGAAGACTGGAAACAGTTTTTGTATACTTACTTCTCATCAGAGGTGAGTTTGTAAAGTTGTTTTTGTCAGACATTACTGGTCTCCATGGAGATAAAGACAAATGTAGCTTCATAGCAGATATTATCATTTGAGTGTGAAATTCTCCTCCTCACTGCCTTTTCCTCCCAGAGAATTCCTAGGAAATTCTAAAAGTTATATGTTTATCACTCAGCAGATCCTTTACATAATATTGCTGTCTTCGCAGCACAGCGGAAAGTCTATCTTTCTCCAGCCTATTCTCCAGCTCCATATTTTTTTCTTGACTGTGCTTTTTGACTTCAGAATTATTTCTTCTAAACCCTGTAGAGAAAAACTGTGTCATCTTCATATCTGAGTTCTGGGATAGGTTTGCCTCCAGTTGTGAGTGGATCGAAGCTGTCACAGGCCTCATCAGTAATTGCATTTCTCATCATACTTAGCATATATGTTGAAAAGGGATGAAGAGAGAGTGCAGTGTTGCACTGCTTCTCTCTACTACTCAAACCAATTTGTTTTCCCAGCTACTCTGACTGTTGCTTGTTGTTCATGGTAAAGAGATTCCATTAGATGTATCAGATGTGTTGGGAACCCCATGCATCTCAGGATATGCCACAGCTTTTGGTGTTGAACACAGGTAAAAGCCTTGCTGTAGTCTATGAAGCATGTACAGAGATCTATCTTGTACTTCTGCATTTCTCAGGGTTAATTCTCATATTGAAAATGTAATCGTTTTCTCTCTGTCATGTCTTAAACCTGCTTGAGCTTGTGGTAATTCATATTCTACATTGTTTTCAATCCTCCTCATGATGATTTGCTGAAGGATTTTTTCATTATACAGTGCATTAGAACTTCCGGTCAAAATGGACGCTAGGCAGGGGCACTGTTTGGAGCCGAGGCAAATTTTTTGCTTCTGCCAGACGGTGGCTGCTGCATTTTTGCTCCATTTTTAGACTGGATATAGTTTCGTCACCCAGCTTCTGAGTTGAATGCATGGTGTGACACTGTGAGCTACAGATTTAATTTTAAATGTTTTTTCGACTGGGACCGACGCGGTGATGTGAATGGTAGATTCAGAAAATGGCCCAATGCTTGTCGTCGCAATGTTGGTGGTGCCCGTATGTGATTAAAATTGATCGCGTAGGCAACTGCTGATCTGTTGGTGACTTCTGCTACCATCAATGATGGTCGGACTGTTTGTGTTAGCGCTTCGGATGGCTACCGTATGCTTTAATGTGTGTGTATGCTAGATATGCTGAGACAGCAGTCTGTCAATCTTTCCACAAGAGACTGTGATAAACATTCTGTGTGTTTTTCGTTGGCACAGGAGCGGAGCAAAGATGGGGCGACCCGTTTGCTATGAAGCTGAAACTAAGACTACCAGACTACCATTAGAAGAAGTACACAGAAGATCCTTACATTCCCCCCCCCCCCCCCTCTCAATACTTTAGTGAGGTAACTGGAGAAGGAGAAGAAGAATCCATTCTTATCTTTATTGTTATTTGAATAGCTTCTGTAAGTACAGTTGTGGTTAGATTAACTCATTGCAATATTACATTTCAGGAGGATCACAAGAAGCTGGACACAGTTGACTGGGAGACTTGGTTTCATGGCCTTGGCATGCCCCCTTATCAGCCAAAGTATGATCTAGTTGACCTTAGTTTTAGTTTTTATAACATAGCTTGTTCCACCCTTTTTCAGACAGTGAGTATTTACTGTTATCATGTACTGCAGGCTGATTGTGAAGTTCAAGGTCTGTTGTCTCCAGTTTATGCTGATTCCAAAGCTCCTCTGGCTGCTGCTGGTGTATGAGTTTAAAAGCAGTGGCATGGAAAATCAACACAGTCATGAGAAAATGGCTCAGAGCGCCGCCTCATCTTACCAGCCTGGCTCTTTATTGTAAACAGGTGGAGCTGGTATTTCCTTTCACTCGATATCCGAAGAGTTTAAAGTCTGTGCTGTTGCGTGGGTCTGCAGACTCCATAGTCAACCCTGTCCAGCCCATGCTAGACAGTGCGGAAATGGAAGGTAACTGATGTGATAAAATGCAAAAAAATGCACTAAAATTGAAGAAAGTCATAGGTTAGATGCAAACTGACCAATGCGGCTTCAGGCAGGGGAATGTCACCTGGTGGTCTAAGACCAAAGAGTGTAGAGATATGGCTGCAGAATAGATCAGGGACACTGAAAACGAGTTGCAGGTCCAAAAAAGAAGCCTATCAGTCACAACAAGGCCAGTAGCATGCCGCAAGTACTCTCCTGGAGTGAGATTTAGCGAATGGCTTCAGTGCAATTGAGCTTTGTTATTAGATCTGCATAAGATGTGTTATCCCCAAATGGCACATGACCAGTGAGCCGACGTGTCTTTTGTGCAGAGTGTTCAAGCACTTACTGTCCATGTGCAGGAAATCCTTAGGTCAGGGGCAGTACACATGGCCCCATAATAAGGTCTTGAAAGAGTTGGCCATAAACTAGGACCAGTCCTAATGCCCACACCTCCCCCCGTGCGCTTCCTCAAGGCTGAGCAGAATTCTAAAGGAACATTCAACAAAGTCCTATATGCTCCTCCTTAATTGACTGTGCACAGGACTGGCAACTGGCTGTTGACCTGTCTGGTTTTGAGAGGTACCCCGAACCAATCTGGAAGCCTGGGCTGAGGCAAGGCATAGTGCTGCACTCAGCGGCAGAACATCAGCTCATACTGATAGAGTTCAGCGCACTGTACGAGTCGTGAGTTGAAGATCAACACATGTATAAGCTCGAAAAGTACATCTGGTAGCCAGGCTAAGGAGCGAGGAGGGGTACGCAGTAAAACTCTTCGCAGTCGAGGTGGGCGCAAGAGGGCTAATATCCGACTTCACAATGTTCAAACGGGCACTATAGCAACTGGGCAAAGCTGCAGAGAGAGCTTTGAGCTGGCTGTGGAGACAACAGAACGACGTGGTAGACTCGTTTGAGCCTCTAGTGTAAAAGAACTTTTCAATTCCTTGAGCCAAATTGTGTTGTCCAAATAACTCTGCCCGTGTTACTGCTGACTGCTAAAGTCTGTCTGATAAATGTCTGTTCGATGAACTAACCCCCCATTTGTCACTCTGGCTGTGCAGGTAGGTGCCTAATTTGTAGCCGCAGCGATGATATCACCATAACCTCAGTACCTGTTGCAGTTACAGTAATGTCTTATCCGATTGTCCGATAAGCGCAGCAAGAGATTTCTGAGGCCCAGGAGTCATGACCCAGGTTGCAGTAAGATGACGAACCAACAGTCTGCATAAAATAAGCCAGATCTTTCAAATTGATGTGCACACAAGACTCAAATCCAGCAGCAAGACCAAAGTCCAGAAGTGGATGAACAACCATGACTTTCTGCTGCAGTTTACAGCCGGTGAACACGAAGAAGTATCCAACCCAGTAACCAGAGGGAGGACATTTTTTTAAATGGAAATTGGATTTTGTGAGCCATTTGATCAGATATACAAGATAACTTTATAAAGTGTTACATTCAGAACAGATTAGATAGAGGACTTTGGGGGCAGTGAATCCACATCAGTCGCCAGAATGGCAGACTTGGGAATTAAGAACGGCATAGCAAAAAAAAGAGACGCACACCAGACGACTTGTTAATCAACATAGAACTTGTACTATTAGCCATGTTACTAATTCACCGTCCTTTTTATGGATGCCATTTTTGGTTATTTGAAGCCCTACTCTGGCTCTTGCCAGGGGCCGCAATATAGCCTGGCCATAAATATGGCCTAATGGCTGAACGCGGTTTCTGGGACCTCTCCGCGGCGATCCTCATCCACATGGTGGCACTTTGTGTCATCGGGTGTTTATTGCTTGTGTGAAGTCCTGGTGTGGTAGAAAGTCAGTCAGTCCGACTATTAGCCATCGGATGTTGGGGTTCATACTGAGGGACGGATCTGAGCACCTATGGACCGTCCGGAGTGCAATGATGATAACCCAACTAACTAACATTCAGAACTTGTAGGTAAAGGTAGTCCCATGGAAGATAACTGCTGTTGGGTAGTGAAGTGATAGACATTCTAGACCAGTGGTTTTCAAGGGTACATGCTGTGTCCCTACTTGGTTTTGGGAGGGGGGGGGGCACAAGGAAATTTCAAGGGGGCGTCAAGCAGTTTGAACTTGAAATAATCTGTTATACTAACATTCTTTTCAGTTTAATTATTTAAAAAAATGTTTCAACTTCATAAACCGAAAAGCCATGGTCATTATTGTTTTTATGAGCAGTTAAAAATTTGTTTAATAGGATAACACCTGCATTTAATTATAAAGTCAACAAAGTATAAAATATTATACTTAACAAAGCCAGTAAGAGTTGACTAGCAAATCTTCTTTCTCTGCCTACAACCGGTTTCTATATGTTTGTCTTCATTTAACACCCATTTCTAGCACACGTTTTGATGTGTCTGACTCCTTTGTCTTAACGTTTGTAGAATACATCATATTCAGTATGTCTGCCCTGTCTATACATCTTCCTCCACTAACTGCTACACTTCTTCTTCTTCTTCTTCTTTTGTCCTCTCACTGTTAACTAGGTTGTATATGTAGTCCAGTGTCTTGGTTTTCTGTATTTGTCTTGCACTTCTTGGGTGGCTTGAGTGATGGATTTGTTCAACTTTTTGCATGTTTCAACTTCTACATTAACTATCCCAAAAGCTGTACCAGTCAGAAAAATTCCTACAAATTCTGGTTATTGAACCTGGACCACTGTCTCAGCAAGCAAATGCGCTAACCACTTATATGGTACTGCTATAATAATATTGTAACAAAAGGTCACTGTGGCCTATAATCTGTACCTGTGTAATGATGGTTGAGAGATGAGCATCTCAGAAGAAACACACTAAATACCTGTGCTGTCAGCAATGGTTCGAACATCCCATGCGCTAACTGTGGAAGAATTTTCCGAGTGTGGCTGGGTTTTGCTAGTCACACTCGCCTTCGCCATTGGCTGTGAATCACATGCCTTCCATTAGTACAGTATAACATCTCCCCTTGTGGGTTCCGGGGCCCTGTTATAGGGTAAACAAGAATAGACCCACTGCCTACCCAAAAGCATGTTGTAAGAGTTGACTAATTGGGAGCTTCCTTTGAAGTCAGAATGCTTCTGCCTGAGAGGCAAGAAACCAGCAGTCTGCATACAAATAAGTCAGATCTATAAAACGGATACACAGGCAACACTCAGGTTCTGGAACAGGACTGCAGTCCAGAAGTGGATGAACAACTAGAACATTCTGCCGGAGTTTATAGCTTGTGAACGCAAAGAAGAAGAAGCATGACATCATCGTCTGGAAATATGGAAAAGTTCCGGTGAATGATGCAATGATATTTACAAGTGCTGCCAGTGTTGTGCAACTAAAGTCAAATGTTTTCTTCCTGGTTGTTAATTCTTTGCTCCATTGGTCTTCAGTGATTACTTCCCTTCCTGTAAGACAAAAATCATTTTCTGATATTTGATGGTACCGATGATTGCAGAAATTAAAAATCATTTGTTTTATTGACCTGACACTCGCATTGAAGTGGTGCTCTTTTTGTTCTCCTGTCTGCTTGGTGGTCTAGGGGTTCGACCACCCGGACTTTTATCAATTCTGAATAAGACTCTATTTTCGTATGAATAAAGTCTGTTTTTCTTCTTGGCTTTCTTCAGCTATGACTTGAGACTTGCTGAACCAGGCAGAGTTTTAAGTAAGAGGTGGATAGAACAACCAGATGATGACCTGAATGTTTTCTCTCCTGGAGACATCAATAATCTCCCAAGTATTGTCATCAGAGAATTCCTTTCACAGCTCATCTTGGCAGAGGTAAATACACACTTCAGCATTAGTCTTGTTTGATGGTTCACCTCCCCCATGGCTTCCAGGGTCCCAGTTGGGTTGATGGGAGGAAGAACAGACCCACTGCCCCCTTAACAAGCATGTCATTAAATTTGACTGTTCTAGGAGTTCGATAAAATCAAATGTGTTGAGCCAGAAGGTTCAGATATTGCAGCTTAGCTGTACACCACAAAGCGCCAACCATCCTTTTAAGGAAAATGCAGAAGTTTCCTAGATATTAAAGACCATTGACATTCAGCTCTGGTTTGTTAATCACTAGGCATTAATGTTAATCACATTAAATGTCATATCATTTGTATGTGTTATACGATGTTACTTTATCAAAAAAGACAGAATTGGAAATGTTGATATTAGAGCTAGAGGAACCACTGTTTGCATTGAACTAATAAGAAAAGCAACAATTGAAGTAGTTTGGATAGGTAAACTAATTAATCCTATACTGTCTTTGTCTTTTACTCTCCCTACTATGACACTTTTAAGCTTGGTGTAGGTTAGAGGTGCCATATTTAGCCAGAGATTTTAGAGCTGTGTGGCCAGCTCCACAAGTTTGATTGGCTTTTTTATTTTAAAATCATAATATTTTCACAATGCCCCTCTTTCATCATGTATCCAAAGAGCACTGCTGCTTTTCTACAGGAGCAGATAATGCTTTACTTTTATCAACTGTTGCCAGGTAATCATAGTTTATGTGGCTGTCTGAGGTGTAAGAAGCCACATCTCCACTTTCTTAAGTCTTTGAGTCCAAGGGGGTTTTGCATCACAGGCCCAGGGGGTAGTAAAGAAAGTATTAAAATTGGCGCATCATGCGTTCATTGGGATTCTAGGTAGGAACCCATGAACGTATGATGTGTTCCTTGGGACTCAAAGAGTTAAAGCTCTTCATAATTAGTTTGTCCACTTCCAAGATTTCACTGTGTGGGTCCCGGGGCCCTGTTATAGGGAAGACAAGAATAGACCCACTGCCTACCCAAAAGCATGTCGTAATTGTTGACTAATTGTGAGCTTCCTTCGAAGTCAGATCGCATCTGCCTGAGAGGCAAGGAACTAGCAGTATGCATACAAATGAGTCAGATCTGTAAAACGGATGCACACACAACACTCAAAACTGCAGTCCAGAAGTGGATGAACAACCAGAACTTTCCGCCGGAGTTTAAAGCTGGTGAATGCGAAGAAGAAGAACTTCCAAGATTCCACATAATACTTTAGTATTATCTTCTTTTTGCAGCACATACTCTGTATCTTCTTGTATCCTCCTGCAGACATTGTTCATTTCCAAGGTTCACACATAATATTTTAGCACTGTCTTGATATCATATTGAGTATACTGGGCAGACATTTATCACTATGCTCCAGTTCATCTTGTATCCTCTTGATGATATTGTTTAGTTCCAAGAATCACACCTAACACTTTAGTATTCTCTTCTTATCACAGTAAATATTCTGCGCAGGCACTCATCTATGTGCTCCAGTTCTTCTCATATTCGTGTGCATTTAATGCGTGCAAACGCTACTGGCTTTGTCAAGACTGCAGTCTGATTTCAATTTTTTCACCAGGGACACGGATAAGCATTCTTCATTGTTTTTTTGCTAGCACAAGAATGAAGCAACTATGGGACAATCCATTTGCTGTGAAGCTGAAACTTTGATTAACTGATCTTCTTTTTTTTCCTCTTGTTGATATTGTCCTGGTTTGGAATGAATGTTACTGTTCTTACATTCTTTCTTAGCCACCTTTGTCACAGGCGAAGGTGAAACACCTGGAAAAGGTGTACAACTTTAACAAGGTTCGGAACTCTGAGATACGGTTCAGGTAAGTCATGTAAACAGTTTGAGCAGTATTCATAAGTCAGGATCTTGATTCATTCAACAGTTTTCATAGGCTGACCTGATTCAGTTTCTAAATATTGGTCATAAATACTGACTGTCTGATAGGACAAAAACCTGTGACCCGTGTCCAGGGCATGGGTCATGTAGTACTTTTAGCTTGGACCAAGTGACTGCATTGAATCATATCAAGTTGTAGGATTTGGGCATTAATGGGCTAGATCTTATTCTTCTCTATAAATTAAATTTGGGATTGAGGACATGTAACCCTGAAACCCAGAGAAGCTGATAACTGAAACTTTAAGTTGATTCCCCCGTTGCCTAAGAGAGCTGACTAGGCTGTAGTGGCCTGTCCTTGAGATGGTCAGCTAATGGCACTTATTGCCATCATTTTGTAGCACCAGGAATGACTTTAGTTACTAAATTTGGGATATAAAGGGGTTTTCTGTAACAAAAGGGGATTCGCCGTGGTGGAGCGGCTAGCTGCTTGCCATGGATCGGAAGGTCATGGGTTCGGTCCCTGGCGGAGCCGGACTTTTTTGTAAAACTTACCTTGGCTCCCAGGTCAATCCAGCCTTGAGTGGGTACCGGGTGTAATCCCAGGAAATTAGGGCGGCTGGCGTGATGCTGACCACATCACCCTTCTTGTGCCACTTGGTCTATAAAATATAGGTCTAGCCCTATATACCCTATATGCCTAAAGGCGTGGAAGAGGGTCCTTTACTTTACTTTACTTACTTCTGTAACAACAAAAAAACAAAAACAAAATTATGACTTCATGATTTCCCTTAAAATGTTAACCTGCAAGCAGGTCACAGGTTAAAAAATAAGTCATCATAACAATTTATTTTTAGACTCACATAGGTGTAACTCAATTAATTCTCTGCTGGATTCATATTTACTGATGCCTCCCTCTATTCTGCATAGAATTTAATATTGCATTGGTCGATGAATGGAATTGTTATGAATTTTTCTTTTGTGACCTGTTTAAAAGGGTTGAGGTTTTAAAGGGACATTTTCCCTGGTATCTCTCAATTAAAAGTCATTGACCCTTTCGTTGCCTAGGTTATCTAGGTGAAAAGGTTAATGCTTACCCAAATAATTCACTTCTGTCTCTCTGTCTCTCTCTCTCTCACTTTTTAAAATTTTTTTTATTTCTTTCAACAGCTTGTCTTTTATTTCTTTGAACATATTTAATCTGTCTGTCAAAAACCTCAGTATTTGATTATCTGCACATTTTATAGCCTGACATATGTTTCTGTATCTCTTCAAATCTGTAGTACGGTAACAGTTAAAATATAAGGAAGTAAATAAATTGATCCTAACTGAAATATAAACTAAATTACTCTCAGAAGTAACTGCCTTCATTTGTGCAATCTGTTGTTTCTGTCTTCCTTGTTCAAACATATTTTTATGTTTATCTGCATCGCTTGGCTTTATTTTATCTGTTGACATTTAGTATTTGTCTTAGAAAGTTTTAAACTGCACGTCAGTCTTGAATAAACACATGCTGACTGATGCCGTTACAGATGGCTGAGGTTGTGTCTGCTGGTGAAATGGGAAGATGCTATACCTCATGTTCTTGATTTTTTGAATGATCAAGGAAGGATGAAATTTGTGAGACCCTTGTACAGGTGAGATATTTTCATAGCAGCTGAGGTTTTAGTTTTGTGACAGCTATGGCTGGTTGGTTGTGAATCTTTTGTGAGTATTAACTCTCAGATTTGATGATTTGACATAAGGTGGACTGAGCCTTGCAAATGACTGGCATCTAGAGAAGTAAAGGTTGGTATAAAACAGTTTCCTACCTGGTACCAGGGTATTGTCTCAGTAGAGACTTTACATCAAAGTCAAAATTTTACCAAGAAAAAAAGAAATAATGTCATCCTAAAAAATTTAAACATGAAGGAAAATGGCTTGTAAACAGCATCTTGTCTTGGAAACTGAAATACTTGGCCATATCTAACACCATGCAGAGAGCAGGACTGGAACAGCAGACGTGTGGACACAGTCAGCTGAAGGTAGAACTGGAACAGCGGACGTGTGGACACAGTCAGCTGAAGGTAGGACTGGAACAGTGGACATGTGGTCACAGTCAGCTGAAGGTAGGACTGGAACAGCAGACATGTGGACACAGTTAGCTGAAGGTAGGACTGGAACAGTGGACATGTGGTCACAGTCAGCTGAAGGTAGGACTGGAACAGCAGATGTGTGGTCACAGTCAGCTGAAGGTAGGACTGGAACAGCAGATGTGTGGTCACAGTCAGCTGAAGGTAGGACTGGAACAGCAGATGTGTGGCCACAGTCAGCTGAAGGCAGGACTGGAACAGCAGACGTGTGGACACAGTCAGCTGAGGGGAAGACTGGAACAGCGAACGTGTGGACACAGTCAGCTGAGGGGAAGACTGGAACAGTGGACATGTGGCCACAGTCAGCTAAGGGGAAGACTGGAACAGTGGACATGTGGCCACAGGCAGCTGAGGCGAAGACTGGAACAGCAGACGTGTGGACACAGTCAGCTGAGGGGAAGACTGGAACAGCGGACGTGTGGACACAGTCAGCTGAGGGGAAGACTGGAACAGTGGACATGTGGCCACGTCAGCTAAGGGGAAGACTGGAACAGTGGACATGTGGCCACAGTCAGCTGAAAGCAGGACTGGAACAGTGGACATGTGGCCACAGTCAGCTGAAGGCAGGACTGGAACAGTGGACATGTGGCCACAGTCAGCTGACGGCAGGACTGGAACAGCAGATGTGTGGTCACAGTCAGCTGAAGGTAGGACTGGAACAGCAGATGTGTGGTCACAGTCAGCTGAAGGTAGGACTGGAACAGCAGATGTGTGGCCACAGTCAGCTGAAGGCAGGACTGGAACAGCAGACGTGTGGACACAGTCAGCTGAGGGGAAGACTGGAACAGCGAACGTGTGGACACAGTCAGCTGAGGGGAAGACTGGAACAGTGGACATGTGGCCACAGTCAGCTAAGGGGAAGACTGTGAACAGTGGACATGTGGCCACAGGCAGCTGAGGCGAAGACTGGAACAGCAGACGTGTGGACACAGTCAGCTGAGGGGAAGACTGGAACAGCGGACGTGTGGACACAGTCAGCTGAGGGGAAGACTGGAACAGTGGACATGTGGCCACGTCAGCTAAGGGGAAGACTGGAACAGTGGACATGTGGCCATAGTCAGCTGAGAGGAAGACTGGAACAGTGGACATGTGGCCACAGTCAGCTAAGGGGAAGACTGGAACAGTGGACATGTGGCCACAGTCAGCTAAGGGGAAGACTGGAACAGTGGACATGTGGCCACAGTCAGCTGAGGGGAAGACTGGAACAGTGGACATGTGGCCACAATCAGCTGAAGGGAGGACTGGAACAGTGGACATGTGGCCACAGTCAGCTGAAAGCAGGACTGGAACAGTGGACATGTGGCCACAGTCAGCTGAAGGCAGGACTGGAACAGTGGACATGTGGTGGATGGCATTGGATTGGGGGAAAAAGTAAAGAAGGACAGGGGCCGACCAGCATGAAGATGGGCACAGGACATAAAAGACTCCTTAGGCAGAAAAGTACATGAGATGGGAGAGCTGTTGAGGGAAGGAGTTTCATTCGTGTGTGCTATGATGTGAGTGACATGCTGTGAAGGACCTGCTAGGTGAGGACCAGTGACAGTTTGTGGAAATTTTCTTAGCTAAAACTTTGTTTAGCTTAACGCATGAAAATGGAGTTACTTTTCTTTACCTCTGTTGCCTGCTGAAAAGCTGCATTTTGGTTACTTTTTTTTCCATTGTCTTGTTAAGCCCACTACCATATTCACAATGGGAGCTGCAGCATTACAATGACAAGCCACTTGCCTGCTAACCCAAGTCATCATAGGATTATTGTTTACCATGCTGCTTGGGAAGGGAGGGGGGGGGGTCTGATTCTTCACCTCATATGATCACCAGAAGCACTGATTAGGTCTGTGTTCTAGTACTTCCCAGTCTATCCAGTTACATATCCCTTTGTCTTCCCCTTGCCATTTTCCCATCAACTTTGCCAGTTGTCAACAATTTTTTTTAAATTTTAACCCTCTTAGTACGGACGGGCCGATTATCGGCCGGCGGATGTCTGGCCAAAAACACGGAACGGCCGATCATCGGCCCGATCCTGTTTCGTCTCGAACCGCTAAGAAATCTCCTATTTTGAAACACTGAAAGTGATTCATTCATATTCACTGCTGTATTGGCGACTTTCAAGTGTTTGGTATCGAAGTGAAAATTGTTATTGAATTTTTTAGATAGCGACCTGAACCGCTAAAAGTATGTCTGACTCGTATGTTTCTGCCCCTAAACTTGATGTTGATAAAACGTTTGAATCAAGTGATTACACTAATTCTGTTGATACTGATGCAGGATTTAGTGTTAGTAGTAATAGTGGAAATCAGATGGGGACGCTGTTGTGTTCAGACCACAGCCCAACCATGGCTCAGGGTATATGCACCCGAAGATGTTGACACTCCGGCACATCCATTTCTTGTGCTGACTGATGGTGAAAAACACATGTCACCTAAAGATATTATTGCTGTTTCATATATATATATATATACCTGTTTTTGACTATTGAATTGCTTATAACATTTGCAAAAAGGTTAAAGATCAATAACAAGATTTCAAATTAAAAAAAATTTTTGTTTTTAATTTTATGTTTCAAGCATTGAAGTTGAAAATTCAAATTCAAATTTTCTATTTTTAGATATGCAAATGAGATAATTTGCATATACATCAATTAATTTTAACGATATTGTTAAAATCATGAACTTCAATTTATATCCTTCAAATAGATATGTTATTTCATGGGGGTCAGAATAACAGAAAGCTGTCAAAAAAATTAAATAAAGTAATAACCAAATTTACTGAAAAAATGCTCCGTGTTTTTGGCTAGACCTCTGAAAAACTTCCCGTGCTAAAAGGGTTAAGCTTATTTTTTTCATAACTTGTGAAAATTCTAATCCGCACACAATTATTTTCTCTAATTTCGGATTTTCATCTATCTCCAGACTACTGGTATTTCCTATTATGGTATCTTTTACAATATGAACTGGGCTGCCAGACTGACCCACCCTAAAATAAGTACCATGAAAATGTTCTGGGAAGTAAAGGCAGCAAAACTAAATTGGCCACATCATCTGTCAAGTAAGATTGGTCTCTGAGAGTATGAGTCCAGCATCATGTGCTCATTATTCTTCCACGCTTGTAAACAGGTCCTTGACATTGTTACATATTGAAAGTATAGTGTAACCCTGTCCCCCGAGATGTAGTGTAACCCTGTCCCCTGATATGTAGTGTAACCCTGTCCCCCGAGTTGTAGTTTAACCCTGTCTCTCGAGATGTAGTGTAATCCTGTCCCCCTAGATATAGTTTGACCCTGCCTCCCGAGATGTAGCGTAACCCTGTCCCCCGAGATATAGCGTAACCCTGTCCCCCGAGATGTAGCGTAACCCTGTCCCCCGGGATGTAGTGTAACCCTGTCCCCCGAGATGTAGCCTAACCCTGTCCCCCGAGATGTAGTGTAACCCTGTCCCCTGATATGTAGTGTAACCCTGTCCCCCGAGTTGTAGTTTAACCCTGTCTCTCGAGATGTAGTGTAATCCTGTCCCCCTAGATATAGTTTGACCCTGCCTCCCGAGATGTAGCGTAACCCTGTCCCCCGAGATATAGCGTAACCCTGTCCCCCGAGATGTAGCGTAACCCTGTCCCCCGAGATGTAGTGTAACCCTGTCCCCCGAGATGTAGTGTAACCCTGACCCCTGAGATGTAGTGTAACCCTGTCCCCTGAGATGTAGTGTAACCCTGTCCCCCAAGATGTAGTGTAACCCTGTCCCCCGAGATGAAGTGTAACCCTGTCCCCTGAAATGTAGTGTAACCCTGTCCCCTTAGATGTAGTGTAACCCTGTCCTCCGAGATGTAGTTTAACCCTGTCCTCCGAGATGTAGTGTAACCCTGTCCCCTGAGATGTAGTGTAACCCTGTCCCCTGAGATGTAGGGTAACCCTGTCCCCCGAGATGTAGTGTAACCCTGTCTCCCGAGATGTAGTGTAACCGGCATTTCTGACTGTGACTCAATCACATAATCGCAGCTTGAATTGCATATCTGTTATGGCCTGTTCCTGAAAAGCCTAGAAAACAGAGGGGAAAAAAGTTCTGTTTGTAGGTGTGCAATGTTTAGAAGGTCCGTATATGAATAAATTTACTAACATAGCATTTGCGGGTTGGGTCTTGTGAACGTAAGGGCTTTTAAAGCCATTTTGATGTCATAATTTACCTATAGCCTTAGTGCTAGAATTGCGATGAGGTCAAAATCGAACAGGTCTACCTCTTGCTCTAAGTCCTTCTCCTCTTTTAGTTGTGTATTGATTACTGCATGAATCACAATTGATTACTCTCTTTATTTTGTAAGAGGGGGGGGGGGGGGGGGGGGGGTAACAATGATTTGAATGAAGGAAAAAAACTTAACCATTTATTAGTGACTTGTATCACATGAGTACCACGGTACTGCAGGGAGTTACCAGGGGAACTGGCCGACGCTCAACACTCAAGGGAAAGGCAAGATGGGTGTACAATCAGACAGTTACTGGTAACATTGGAATTGGAACTCTTTGCTTGCTGCTGAAGATGGCCTAATGAAGCACTTAATGGAAGTGTCCCGAGTGCTAGGTTGTCAATTCTTGATTCAACAAATCACATGGTTGTGTTTTAGTGATTCTTTAATTTTTTAAAGAATTCCCATAGGTTCCTACTTTTTTTTATTTTTTAAAACATTTTCATACAGGTCATATTTATGTGTCCTAGTGTAAAGCTGCTTTTATTTTTGTCTTTCATTGTTAAGAAAATAATTAAACAATCTTATTTCTCATTGTGATGGTGATATTTGCAAGTTAATATTTTATTTCTGTATCCCTTCTGCTGTATTTTTGTAGGAAGTTACTTCTTTATTTCTTTGTTACACAGAGACCTGTATGCTTGGGAGGAAGCTAGGCCAAAAGGTGTTGCCAATTTCCTTGAACATCGCCAAGAAATGCATAATACAACAGCAGGGCTTGTGGCCAAAGATCTGAAACTGGAAGTCTAGTTTGTTGATTAACTGTTTACATTTTGCTTATGGAAAATAGTGTCTGCAATGCAATATGATATCAAATTTGCTAAAGAGGAAAGGCTAAGATCCTGAAGAAAAAACAACAAATGCAGGTTGTGGATGCTGTGAATTGCAAAGATAATAGTGATTCACCCTGAATACTGTTATATCAATGAGCCGAACATTCCAACATATACAGCTGAACATCTGGGAGGGAGGCGAGAGGAAGACCAAGAAAGATGTGGATAAATGGTGAAGCTAAAACCTGCAAAAGATGAACAAATTGATTACCCAAGCTACCTGAGAAGCGCAAGGCAAATACAGAAAACCACAACACTGGGCTACAGCCTGGTATCATTGAGACAACAAAAGAAAAAGAACATTCCAACTTTAAACCAGTTGAAAACTTCACAAACATATCTAAACTGCCAGTTGGAATTTGAGACTTTATAGATTTAGAAAATGCAAACACAGACAAGGCATTGCACATTTTACTGCCTTATATTTTTGGCTGTATTTCGTCAGGTGCATAACTAGAGAGTTGCATTGACCTATAATGAACCACAAGACAATTTTATTGCATAAATCAAAATTGTCTTTTCTTGATACATTGCCAGAAGATTAGGATAGATTGGCAATAAATTGTGCAGTGTATAATTTGTGACTGCATTATTTCAATTCCCAGAAAACAATTTTTTTGAATTTTATAGAATTGTCAGGTGCAAGAGGGTGCCCAAAAAGGATAAGGATTGATAACATTAAAGACTATATTTATTCAGAGGAAATGAAAACAGCCAGTGCCACACAGAGAGTGCTAGGCTACCAATATTCCACCTAAGAATACGTAACAGCAAAAGTTGTGATGATTACAGAATTGTATAGAACAGAGCTTTTCAAACTGTTCGTTGATGACACTTTTTTTAGACCCATAGTCTTCAACCAGGGGTGTGAGGAAATTTTCAAGAGGAGTGTCAAGCAGTTTTGAAATTGAGTTTATTTGTCCTTGTAATAATCAGAATTTCTAGTTTTAACAGTCATTAAAAATAACAACAAAACATCATTGCAAGCAAGAGTGATTTGCTTTGTGCCTTCTGCATCATCAGTCCCAAAAAGCTGATATCATCAAGAGAAAACAAACAGTATTAACCGTCACATTGATGTTTAAACAGCGAATTACTGGTTGTTGGCGATTGTTTCTTTTGTTATTTGACATTTTGATATGTGCCCCCCCCCCAATTTGTTTTTAAAGATTGCCTGTGGGTTTTTCCCTTCTTCTTAATCACATGTTTTTGGGGAAGGGGGGGGGGGGGTCTTGTCATATATATACCCAAGGTGGTGCCACCTGAAAAAAAGGTTGGAGATTACTGTTTTAGACACAGTTTTGCAACAGAAATTCGGTTACAAGCAAACCAGAGGTTGAAGTTTAATGTTACTTTCACACTGCAGCTGACAACACTAATATGGCATGACACACAGTTTGGAAAGCTCTGGTCTAGAGAATAGTAGAATATTTCTTTCTCTTTGGTGATACACTAAAGATTTCACAGTGAGATCCAAAGATAAGTTCCACTAATATGTCTGCATTTTTCTTTGTAATAGAAAAGAAATGCCTGTTTCTTCACCTGTAATCACATAAAACAATTGATGTAGACACCAATTATGGGTATCAACTGAATAAAAAAAAATGAACAACAGCTCCTGAATAATTAAAAACACAATTTTTCTCTGAACATACATTTTTATTCTTCTAATTATAACCAAGGGTACTACATTTTTTAAAATATATTAATCAGACTAACAACTTTTTTAAAAAAGAAGCTGTCCCCAGAAACTAATTGTGTCAACCATTTTTTTTTAAATGTATGTGGAGAAAAATTAACACATATTCAGTTAACTAAATTGTCAGAGCACTAACAACTAGCTAGTTTGATCACAGAACATACACTCTACACATGACCATAGACATCTTCTTTTTTGGCATAGATGTCATGTTTGTTTGGTATAGATGAGATCACTAGTTAGTCCTCATTGCATGGGGAAAGGGAAATATATTGTGTATTTGTGCAAATTTTTCCCTTCTTCCTTGTTGAGCTTCCTAATCATAGTTTATGCTTTAATGAATTCATTTCTTAATTAGGTTTTCTTAATTTCTTTCCTGAAATAAAGTCAAAGAAGTACATAACGCATGATGATAATTAGTGTAAAATGAAAAAAAATAGCAACATGGCTCTCTTACAAACCTCTGTAGCCCTAACACATATTACTACAAATATTTATCACAGAGCAAGACAGCGGTCCCAATATGAGACACAAGTTTTCATTATTTTAAAGCCCCACCTGGCTGTTGTCAGGGGCCCTAATATAAAACGGTTGAATGGGGTTTCTGCATCTTGCAGCCGGGGGATTCTCACCCGAATGGTGGCACATTGGGTTTTTATCGCTCAGTGTGTGGTCCTGGCAATGGGGTTGAACTTCATTCATTTAAGACTAATTACATTTGGGTCATATAATTACAGAATCCACAGTAGCACATAATGGATCTGATACAAGTTTCTTCATTGATAATTTTTTAAAGAAATAAAAGATCTTTGAGGTCACTGAGTTTTCAAAGTCAGATGTGAATAAAAGAAATTCTTTTGGATAAGATAAGAGGATATCCAAGTCCTGTCATAAAACACATGCTCATATTCTGGATTAAAATGCTAACTACCTCCAGCTAACTTCATAATTACAGTTAACCTGGTTTTATTCCAGCTACAGGTGATTTGGCAGCAGATCGCTTTATGTTGATAAAGGAATTGAGAGCTGACCATTTAGGCAGTGGCAAAAAACTTGACATAAAACTGCCTGGTAAAACCAAGCAGCCAATAATGCTGGGGTTAGTTCTGCAGTGCCTTGTGAAGGATACACAACCTACTTGAATCTTTAGTTTACTATTGCCGTCTGTGCACTCGGCATTATGTAGAGGAAAGGAGAACTGAGTTGCATGTTCTGTGCTTACGTAATACATTGGTGAAATGGGTCTACAACTGGCTGACAGGTTCAGACAACATCTTATGGATGTGCAGAATGGTGCCTTGAAACCAGTACCATTGCACTTCAGTTCCCAGTATCTCCAAGGTGTCCTCGATATGGAGGTGACAGTCATCAAATCTAACCACTCCAGAGACAGAGTCAGCAAGTCTCTTGAAAATTGCTTTATTTTCACTTTGGGCACTTTAACACCTAGAGGACTGAACTGCCAACACAGTTTTATCTAAAATCCCAGGGGATTTAACTGCCTAAACAGTTTAATTTTAAAAATAAAATTGTGTACGGCCCCTGGAATTCCCCAGGGTATTTATTCTCCGGTCCTACATACCTCATCAGTCTACTGACAAGACATTGACCTGGCTGCTTCAAGATACTAAGTTAAGTGATTTTGTGTATTTGTGTGGTATTGTTTTTTATGTGTGTGTATGTGCTGATGAAGGCTCCATAGCCGCCTCGTACATGTTTTGTGTTCGCTATATTGTGAAGCTTGCTGTTATACTTTTCGTTCAGTTTTATATCTTTATGTGGAGTAATAGCGTACGACAGTGTCACTTAGATAGTTGCTTGAAATTTACCCTTAGTTCTTCCGTTTTTTTTTGGGGGGGGGGAGGGGGGGGGTATATCTCTTTATTTACATTGCTTGATAAGTTATATCTTTAACTTTTTCTTTGACGAGTGTGAAACATAGAAATTTCCTTGAAATTTACCTTAGTGCACCTTAGTGCCATTAAGTACTTATTTGCACACCTGTATTTATACCTTTAAAAAACTATATATATAAATATATATAGAAATTAAATTTTTTTTTTTTTTATCGAGGGTCTCTATGCTCTAAGACATTTTCTCTATACATAGAATTGTTGGTACCAGATTCCAGTTATAACTTCCATGTTGATATTGTGTCAAACAATTTTCAGCATTATTGAATTATATGTGACTTCCTGTACTGTTTTTTGTTTTGTTAATCATATTGTCACTATAGTCATAAGTCAAGACGTGTTTCTGATCACAACAGCTCTTTCACAATGTTAAATAAAAAGCCCAGCTGAATGATACATTTTGTGACAAAGATTCTAGGCCTAAGATGACCTTTACGCGTGTTTATAGCATAGATATTGGAAAGAAATTGTACAAATGACATTTGAAATCAAATTAAACTACAGTGTATTAAAGATTATACACAGAAAAACCAGTGATTTGACAGTCTGAAAATTAAATTTGGCATGGCCTGTCTAATAGATTTGATGTTATTGTGTTCGTGTAGTAGATCTATACTAGCAATAGTCACAACAAAAAGCATGCAGAAGAAAGAGATCACACACAAAAACTGAGACATAAAGGAGGATTTGTAATAAAACAAATCAAAGTCATGAGTTCTGATATTTGGGAATCAGATGTTGAAGGTAAGGATTTGAGCCTGAAGCCAAAGAGAAGCCTTAGCAAACCCACAAATGTGGCTGTCCTTTTCGTTAGTTGTTGGATTGTACTGGAATCGATGTAGAGATTGTGATTGGATCACCTGTTGTGTCAGCATCTGATGCCATATACCATATTTTAATCTTGTGTCACTTAGAAATGAAAATAAATATGTAATTCTACCTGACCACTGTTGTGTTGTTTATCCCTATACCTGTGATTTGTGGAGAGACTGGTTGTGTATAGCATAAGGCGAAAGCTTCCCAAGAAACCCAATTCTTTTAGTCACAAACACCTGCAGCTGTATAATACTTTCTGTCTCACAGTATGTGTACCAGACGCACAGACACAAAGACAACATTACCCCACTTTATTTATCTTAATGACACACCGAAGTCAAGTATGAAGATGTCTAATTGGTATAGTTGACTTAAATAGTTAATGCAGAGTTAACCTTAGTTAAACTAAATACCTTTCTGTTGTTCCCTGCAGAGTTAACCTTGGTTAAACAAAATTCCTTTCTGTTGTTCCCTGCAGAGTTAACCTTGGTTAAACTTAATTCATTTCTGCTGTTCCCTGCAGAGTTACCCTTGGTTAAACTAAATTCCTTTCTGTTGTTCCCTGCAGAGTTAACCTTGGTTAAACTAAATTCCTTTCTGTTGTTCCTTCAGAGTTAACCTTGGTTAAACTAAATTCCTTTCTGTTGTTCCCTGCAGAGTTAACCTTGGTTAAACTTAATTCATTTCTGCTGTTCCCTGCAGAGTTAACCTTGGTTAAACAAATACAAATTGTATTCTTAGTTAATCTAAATTCCTTTCTGTTGTTCCCTGCAGAGTTAACCTTGGTTAAACTTAATTCATTTCTGTTGTTCCCTGCAGAGTTAACCTTGGTTAAACAAATACAAATTGTATTCTTAGTTAATCTAAATTCCTTTCTGTTGTTTCCTGCAGAGCTATTCTTAGTTAATCTAAACACATTTCTGTTGTTCTGTGCAGAGCTAACCTATAGCCAGCAACTACATGTTCTTGTTAAGATGCTCATATATCCAGGTCAGATATGGTTGGATGTTGGTGAAGACGCTAGGGTATCCAACAATGTTGCACTCCTCAGTTCCCCAAGCCACAACACCAATGAGATAGAAAACCCCATCTTTCTCGCATGCCAGAGGTCCACCAGAGTCACCCTGTTTGAGATTGAGGATTAGTATATTTGATTATTTGTTTATATGTTTATAGGAATGTATTTGTCTGTTCAGCATCGGTGATATCTGACTCTCTCTCTCTCTCTCTCTCTCTCTCTCTCTCTCTCTCTCTCTCTCTCTCTCTCTCTCTCTCTCTCTCTCTCTCTCTCTCTCTCTCTCTTGTTTGTACCCCACCAGGGCATCACACAAGCGACAAACACCCGGTGACACAAAATAACACCATGCAGAAGAGGATCACCCGTGGAGAGGTCCCTGAAACCCCTTTCAGCCGCCATGGCCATTTTTATGGCCCGGCTATTTTCAGGGACCCTGGCAAAAGCGGGAATGGGGCTTCAAATAACGAAAAATTGCACAAGATCGGTGAAGTAAACGTCTGATGTTAAAAAGGATTACTTTTATTTTACCAGGCCTGGGGTAATGTTAACCATGTCATTCATTTAGTCCCAGCTGGTATATAAAAATATGGATGTAGCACCATATGTCATCTTTCATTTTACTATAATTTATCAAACATGCACAGTCAAATAATAATAATAAACAGTTAGCATTTCTTAAAATGAAAACATCTTAACCATTCACGCCTTCTTAATATGTTTAATTTACTTTATTATTGCTCTTTCCTTTAGCATGTTTTGTAAGGGGATAATACAAATATATAACAATTTGATTATTTTCGCATTTTTCCATCCATGTTTCTGTGTGCCCCCCCCCCCCCCCACGCCTCCCTCCTGATATTAATTTAATGAAAATTGTTATAGGAACATGACAGGCTGTATTAAAAACAAAAATACAGTTGCTGTGTGAAAGATGGGTGTTTGGAAGGGCCAAACGTAAGATGGACCAACACCTTCTCTAAACTGCTCTGGGTGAAAAGTTATTGCACATATCAATTTCATATTGACTGTGCTTATTTACTAATTATTAAATAACAGTATAATTATATGTTGTAGTAGTCTACTAATAGTAATAATAACCATCAATCATTTATATTTATGTTTCAAAGCAGTATTTTTATGCGCTAAATTTGATAAAGTACAAATGTCACCCCCCTTACCCCGGGTCCTCTGATGCAACAATACCCTCTCAGAATCAAAGAGTTAGCACTGTAGTTTTTTTACTTTTGCTGGAATAACTTTCAGTTTATATCCAGACGTTACTGATGTTTATGTTCATGTTGAATGTAGCAAAAGCATATTTGTTTGTCTGTAAGAGCCTTTGTTGTTATATTTAAAATAGCACACTTATTTACCTACAAAATGACGTATAGTTCTATAAAATATGTAAAAAATTAATGAAACTAGTTTAATTTGTGTATACATCTACTCGATAAAAACTGTGGACACAGAGGGACTCCATTCTTGCACAAGAACGGGAATCCCCGTTGCCCTGTTTGGCCCATAAATAGAGTAGGCCGTGGATGGATCTGCGTGTCCTGTTTGTGACCCTCTGAAAATAACGTTTGCTCCTTCGTTCGTTCTGTAATTGGCCTTGCTTTGGTGCGGAAAAAAACATTTATCGCGTTCAACCAGGATCCCCGAAGGAGGAACTTTTGGTTATAATTGTGACTAGGTTTATGTGCACCATATAAAATGGCTTAGCATTGCTCGCCACCAAGTAGCTCTGAAAAGGACTGTTGCAGGTGTTGATGCGATCAAAAGAGACACACCAAATACTGGCCCGACAGACGACAAAGTCGTTCACCGGCCAGCCAATGGACAACGCGGTCACATATGATTATGACTTTCTAGTATTTGTATAGGTCTGGGTTTTTTCGGTTATTTGCCATTGTTTTTATGTGTCTCAGTAATTGCGGTCTCTTAGCCCTCACGATGCCAGTGATTAGTGGTGGTTCTAAAAACACTTATGTCATCGAGTGCCGATTGGTCTAGCAAACGTGCCCGATGCACTGAAGAAAAAAAGTCATTTGTTTTACTTTCTCATAAACCACTGTTCGGTTTGTATATGTTTATGAGATAGTGTTTAAAGAACAGAGGGTGCTTTATTAATTTCCTACCCCAAGCAAGGGAAATCCACAGGTCACGGGACAGTCTAATATTTCAGGGGGTGATAAATAGGCTGCATGCAGTCGTGGAACCTAGGCTGCACTCTCTCGTGGCAGGTAGGTGGGTTGGGGTTAGGGCCAGTTCTAGATGTTTTGGGGTTCGTTAAAAGCTTCAGAAAGCCGGAAAATCCAGTTTTACCACCCTTTAAAAGTTGGACTGTCCTGTGACGTCATCTGGGGTGTGGTTGGGGGGGGGGGGGTAGGAGATTATAAAATATTACTTGATACTTACAAGACAGGGGCCGTATGTACCGTCACCAAAACACACCATGTCTGCTTCCAGAGTTTCGCCCCACATATCGCTACACTTTTTGCTGCCAATCACATCTCCGGGGACTTCGTGTAGCAGCTGGTCGGCACTCGTGTCTTCCAGTGTCATAGGGTAATGAGATTGAAAACATAGTGCACAATTAGTTTGTGTCATAAAAAAGATTACTTCAGGTTTACATTTGTATGTTAGTTAGTTAGTTAGTTATTTAGTCAGTCAGTCAGTCAGTCAGTCAGTCAGTCAGTCAGTCAGTCAGTCAGTCAGTCAGTCAGTCAGTCAGTCAGTCAGTCAGTTAGTTAGTTAGTTAGTTAGTTAGTTAGTTAGTTAGTTAGTTAGTTAGTTAGCTAGATAGTTAGTATGTCAGTTAGCTAGATAGTGAGTAAGTTAGTTAGTTAGTTAGTTAGTTAGTTAGTTAGTTAGCTAGTTAGTTAGTTAGTTAGCTAGCTAGTTAGTTAGTTAGTTAGCTAGATAGTTAGTATGTTAGTTAGCTAGATAGTGAGTAAGTTAGTTAGTTAGTTAGTTAGTTAGTTAGTTAGTTAGTTAGTTAGTTAGTTAGTTAGTTAGCTAGTTAGTTAGCTAGCTAGTTAGTTAGTTAGTTAGCTAATTAGTTAGTTAGTTAGTTAGCTAGTTAGTTAGTTAGTTAGTTAGCTAGCTAGCTAGTTAGTTAGTTAGTTAGTTAGTTTAGTTAGTTAGTTAGTTAGTTAGTCAGTTAGTTAGTTAGTTAGTTAGTTAGTTAGTTAGTTAGTTAGTTAGTTAGTTAGTTGATCGACAAATTATCCTTATTGCATGATGGACAAGTCAATAAGCACTCGGATCCCACCTTCAGTAGATCCTCTCCGCGTGTTGCGACTGATAACATCAGTTCTGTGTTGGTTTACTTTTATTCTGTGGCTACCTGTATAGTGTTCATGTTTGGCAACAGCATTTTTGACCTGAAGTTCTCGTAGTCTTTTGAGTGTTTTTGATTCAATGTCGTTTCCTAATTCATCTTTTCGTCCTGCCTTCTTGAGAGCAATGAGAATGTCGGTCTGGTCCATTGCTTTTTCTGTACCTACCGTGGCCCTGCCAGCAAGCCAATCCGCATGTACATTTCCACTTACCCCAGGGTGTCCTGGTGCAAAAATGAAACTTCCTATCAGATGAGATTTCCTCAACGACTCCAACCATTTTATTCGAATCCACACTGTCTCTGTATTCTAAGCATGCTAATGGAATCACTTAGAAAAACAAACGCATGGGAAAAGTATTGTCTCTAGCCAGATCATTGCTTTTGTTACCGCCATCACCTCCAAATAACTTTATATGGGCTTGTGTCAAAACTTTGAGTAGCATCCCAGAGGGATAAAACGAAAGGAAGGATTACCATTATGATCGCCATTGACTGCACTTTGAGTATTACATCATAGAACTGTAAACATTATGCAAGCTGAATATTACGCAGTTAACATAGCTACTATGGTCAACTGTATTCTCATGTCAACAGTATCACAATTATAGGATTGAAAACACGGCAAGCAGTCAGTCTTATATAATTATCATTGCCATTATGATCAACTTTGTTAATATTTGTGGCCTTCGGTATCAAAATATATAACTGAAAGCAATGAAATGAGTACAAACATCATTCATATTTGCCATCATCCGCATCAAGGCATTTGTTTCACAAAACTACTTTGGCCCCCAGGTCTACTCAGCCTAACATGGGCACGAGGTAATATACTGGTAAGTAAAGGCTATCGGCGTGATATTGGCCACAATACCCATATTGACCTGGGGTGGGGGGGGGGAGGGGGGGGGTAGTCCTACTGCATTATGTCAAAGTAAATGGGCCAAGAGCTTATACTAGTTTTAGACAAATGAAATAATAATGTGCCGCTGAATGGTAAATAAATATAATAAAACATTAAAAATAACATGAAAGCTATAAAATCAACATTTAAAGTTAATTTGTGTATACATGGTTAAAGAATGGCTTAGCCACCTTACAAAATGGACTGGGTTAAGAGAGAGGGGGGAGGGGGTGTTCACTGCCGTAAAAAATTAGAATTGTGAGCCTCCGGGTTAAAACACGCCTGAATCAGACGATATTTTAGTGTGTGGATGTTTTCTCCAGGTGATTGATGCCCATGTGTTGAGAAACGAACAGGCAGATAGGTTGGCTAGTTCGGCACAATTGGTGGTATATTGATTAATGCCAAGCCAGATGTTGAAAGGGACCTTTGGGAGCGAGTGAACAGTGCTGAGCCACAACTGGTGGTATATTGATTCATGCCAAGCCAGATGTTGAAAGGGACCTTTGGGAGCGAGTGAACAGTGCTGAGGCACAATTAAATCATTACGGTCTGAAGAGAATTCCTGCTGCGAAGCGTGACCAGGGGATCTAGTCGACGCTCAACACTCAGAAAAAAAGTAGAGACAGATTTACAGTCAGACGTTTACTGGTACCATCGTAGTTGGAACTCTGCGTTTGCTGCTGAAGATGGGATGGGTCACTTATCGGAATGTCCCGAGGGCTGTTATGTCGATTCTTGATTCAACATTTAAGTCATCGACAAGTAGCACTGCTAGTACCGGGAACTGGGGATTCACTGCCAGCTATATAGACGGGACGTTTATAAGAATACCTTGAGTACTGTGGTGGTTTTTCTTAACTCTTAATCTTAGAAACGGATTTAACACAACTCACCTAAAGTTGTTCCCCAGCCAGCCACCCAGCAGGAACCACCGCCGTCTTTGTTTGCATCTGTCGCCACCTCTTCACTCCCATCCGACTCCTGGTGGTCCTCAAAGCCCATTGTTGGTATTTGGTTGAATCCGCCACCGAGACTACTTTCACCCGTGCGGTCAGTACGGCTTTTAATGTCATTACCGTCACCTTTACCTCCATTCTCTGGTGATTCAGACTCACTGTCTGGTTGGTCTGTGAAGAAGCTATCGTCGGTAGATGACGGAAGGCAGATGGGTTCTGTTAGCGTGTCCTCGGACAGTCTGACCAGCGCTATATCACGCTCGTACCGGGTTTGAAGGGTTTGATTAGCACTGCTAATGTGTTGTCTGGTGCTGTAGCCTGGGTGCTGGCGAACAGATGAGATAATCACTGACGTTATTATACAGGGAGCAAAAGAAAATCTAGGTAAAATAGCAACGTCAAGAAGTTACAGCAGCCCAAGTAAAAACCTCTAAAACAATCATAACTGCACACACAGACCCAAGTCTAACAAAGCTAGGGCCTATTAATGAAATAGGTTGATCGTAAGTGTTTAGAAAACCTGAAGTTCTCTAGAAAGCGTAATAAGAAAGTCGTCAAGGCTGTAGCTGGCAAATAGAAAGCACACCATTTGGAAAGCTCGCTTCTGAAGCATGTATGAGATCATTAATACAGTGGATTAATGTCTCTAAACAAATCTATAAAATAGAGAAGGGTGGTTCCCTGTGTGGGTTCCGGGGTATCATTGCAAGGAAAACAAGAATATACCCACTGCCACTCCAATAAGCATGTCGTAAGAGTCGACTAATTGGAAGCTTCTTTCAAAGTGGGAGTTAAAATGCCCGAGCGGCAAGGAACAACCAACTGCACACAAATGAGCCAGTAAAATGGATGTACACGCAAAACTCAGGCCCTGGTACAAAGCCAAAGTCAAATAGACGAGTAACCAGGAATTTCCTCCTATGCTTACAACGGTGAACTAAGAAGTAATAAGAAAGTCGTCAAGGCTGTAGCTCGGTGTTTCCCAAATTTTTCTCACTGGCGGGGCCTTTTTTCAATTAAAATGTTACCACTGCTCTCTAACCAAAGTAAAAGTATGACTATTCGTATGTAAGAGATAATAATTTTTTTTTTAACTCGTGTATTATGGAATATTTCACGGCGCCCATTTGAAGAGGTCGCGGCTACCCGGGGCGCAGCGGCGCACAGTTTGGGAATCACTGCTGTAGCTGGTAAACTGAAAGCAAGCCACTTGAAATGGATCTCCACTTTTTTTCCTTAAAAAAAAAAAAAACTTGTCTTGTGTAATAGGCGGACTGTGCAATTAATCTGACACTTTTATTTGTATCGTGACGTCTCCATAAAGGAGGTAGTATCCACTGCTAACTATGAGGATATTATGTGGTAGGATCCCTGTCTCTTCAATGGTGCAACTCTCGTACCACTGTCTGAAAGCTACTAGAACGATCTTTTTAAAACCACTCACCACGGGAATCGAACCTGGTAAACGTACAGAGGTGCATTGCGAAACAATTTCACTAACCTCTAAGCCACAGAGCAGCTCAAAACCAGACTGCACACAATTGAAATGAAAATTAAAATGGCACTGGCTAGCAAACATATTTTAAGTTAGGAACTGTGTCTGTGGAAAGTGACGATGTAGAAAATATCACTGAACCCAATCTAATTTACACAAAACTAGCTTACTGGAGGCAATCTTTAAAGCTACGGTATGAATATTGAAGTATAATCACGTCTCACTCACAGATACACATACACGCACACAGAGAGAGAGACAGAGGGAGGGAGAGAGATAGAGACGCAGATACAGATTGACACACACACATATAAAGAAACACACACGTGCATATATATGTGTGTGTATGTGTTGGTGTGTTGGTGTGTGTGTGTGTGTTGGTGTGTGTGTTTGTGTGTGTGTGTGCGTACGTGCGTACATAAAATTGATAAGCTAACAGAAACAGTACCATGATAATGCTGTGAACGCTGATATCCCTCTCCCCAGGTTCTTGTGCCAGCAGGTTATGGTCCCCAATGCGAACTCTCCACAGACTTGGCCTGGAAATACTGTGAATGAATTCAAAACTCCATGAATCTGTTCATTAACTGCTGAAGCTTGTGACATCGAGGGGAAAGCCGTCGGGATGGGAATTTTGAGTTGGCTACTAAGTAATGGCCCCGCCAGGACTCAAACCCACGACCTTGCGATCCACAGGCGAGCGTCTAGTCGCTTGACCACGGTCTGGCCCTATATACCTAATATACCCGAAGACGTGGAAAAGGGTCCTTTATTTACTGAGTAAGGGAACAGAGTACGTCTGGGAGCGTCTAGGGTACAGTGGGGTCAGTTCTGGATTCATCTATGCGTGGGAAGTCATTCTCAGCGCAGCCTGCGAAAGATGGAAAGTTTTTCGTATGTCAGGCTTGGTAAGTCAGGGCTTTTCGTAGTTGTAGTAATTTTTCAAAAATATCCTGTTCAAGCCTCATGGTTATAAGAGGGATATATAGTGGTAATTGAGTTTTCAAAACAGGCATGCTTCATGCATAGTGGCGAGCTTCACTCCATAGGTCGAGGGTAGTTAGCATCCTTTGGATATTTTCTTCAAGTCATGTCGGTGTGTCGGGAAATGATCAAGCAGATCGACTGGCTGGCTCTGCACCACTTGGTGGTGAATTGATGTATGACAAGTTAGATATTGTCAGGGCCTTTTGGGAGCTAGTAAACAGTGCAAAGGCGCAGATAGATCATTGTGGTCTAAGGAGAAGCCGCTGCGAGGAGTTACCAGGGGATTAGGCCGATGCTCAACACTCAGAGGAAGGATGAGACGGATATACAATCAGACGGTTACTGGTACCATCGGAATCGGAACTCTTCGCTTGCTGCTGAAGATGGGGACTAAGCACTTATGGGTATGTCCTGAGTGATTTGATATAGATTCTTCATTCAACATTTAACACTCAATTGAGTTTTCAGAGTATATATTTGTTGTTGTTTTTTTTTTTAATTTATCTATTTTGTATTTATTTACATGACTAAAATATATTGTTTTACATTTTGCTTTGATTTGGCTGTAATTATGATACAAGTTGTACTATGAATAATTAGACAATCTTGCCAGCATTGCGTCATTAATATGGTGGAAGTGATATGGGCCGTTGTTTTCTCGCTTACCTTTCCTTCTTCTTGTCCACTTTAGACTTATTAGACATTTATCAATGACCTAAGGTGTTGCCACAAGCCAAGCAACCTGGTTTCTATAGACAGAACAGACAGACAGATAACAGGGAGAAGTCAGACAGCAGACATATAAGTAGCTGTAGGTAGACAAACGCGAGACTGACATCTCCATGTCCCCTAAAGTGCCAGCTGCTTGTCAAAATTCTAATCTAAAACAACATTCCAGTTCTACCTAAATAAGACGTAAAAATAAAAATGGGTTTATGTTTGAATGCGTCTCTAGTGGTGTTCGGACATTTTCCTCCACATCAAGCGCTTGGAGTTAAATTCATATACTTCAGGTGAATCAACGCACGACGAGTGCCTTGGTTCTGAGTGAGTTGAATCTTTGACAGGCTACACCGTGCATTCTCTCAGTATTACCGACCTAAAGAAATCTGAGCAAAACTAAGAGTGTGAAGGAAATCACGACGGGTGGTATTGTTGTTTGTTTTTGTCTTAACCGGGCTCTTTAGACTGTCTGTATACGTCTGTGATTTGTTTATGTCTTAATTACACACAAGTTCCCCATGAGGGTACCGGGGTTCTATTTTGGAGAACACAGAATAGACCTTCCCCTTCTCCAAGCATGTCGTAGGCGCAGACTAATTAGGGATGTTTCCTCCAAAGTCAGAGTAAATCTGCCTGAGAGCCAAGAGACCAATAGCCTGCATGCAAATAAGCCAGATCAGCAAAACGAATGTGCACGCTTTACTCAAGTTCTGGATCAAGAGCAAATTCCAGAAGTGGATGAACAACCAGAACTTTCAGCAGGAGATTACAGCCGGTGAACGCTAAAAAGATGAACAAGAATATACGCAAGGAAGAAATGCTTAATAAAGCAGTGTCTAGACGCTTGCCTGCATCCCAGAAGACGATTGCTAACACTTAACACATTTTCAAAATTTTATAAATGTGTGCAAAATGCTTAGAATGGGAACCATAAAATATTCTGTAAATTAGAGACAGTCACGTGTCATTGATCACATGACCAGCGGTGTGTGATTGGTTTATAAAATTATGGTCCTATCGCCAAACGCCCCAAACGACCTGGTCGTCAATTGGTTGGCCGGTAGACGACTTTGTCGCAGGTCGGGAGTGTATTTTCGTCCCCATTGATCGCATCAACACTAGAAACGTTTTTTTCAGAACTACTTGGTGGCGAGAAATGCTAAGCTATTTTATAAGACCAACATAACCTAGTCACAGTTATAACCAAAAGCTATTTCTTCGGGGTTGCTGGTTAAACGTGATGATTTTTTTTTTCGCAAAGCAAGCAAAGCCAAACTCCTTCAGTTTTAATGTTGTGAACAGGGCCAATACGAAATATACACGCATCATGCAACTGCTATGAGAGATTATACAACACGTATGCACATCCTGCGCTAAATTCAATGCACATCCTTAACAGCTTGAACCAACATCATTGGCACCTGTCCGTCTTTCTAGACGATAGTGTTCTATTGCGCTATGAGGAGGCATAAGACTCAGCCCATGGCGATGGCGATTGTGACTAGCAAAACACGCCCGCGTTCTGAAAAGTCTTCCGCAATTAAAGCATGGGATTTCAGGACCGTTGTGGTCAACATTTGTGTTTAGTCTGTTTCTTCCCAGACGCTCGAGTAGCACCAATAAAAGGTAATCAGTTAATCGCAACTCCAACTTTGTAGCAAACTTTTACCCCTTCATGTGTCAATGAAAACCCCCACAGAATGTCCACAACTGTGCCCTGTTGACAGACTGCCGTCTCCGTAAAGAACACGTACTCATCAGATGGCGGCGTCTGTGGCTTAGACGTTGCGAGTCCGACTCGTAATTCCAACGTACCGCGATCAAAACCCACTGCTGCCTGCGTGAGTCTTTATCATGGTATGGGACGTTGCAGGTCCACCCAGCCTAAAATTGATACCAGAATGTATGTCCTGATGAAGTAAAGACGACCGGCGTAACGCTGACCACATTACCTACCTAGTGCAGGTTGGTCTGTTAAAATATGGGTGCTCTTCCCATATGCCTGATGCGCCAAAAAGGCTTGAAAAGGGATCTGTACTTTTATTTTACTTACTTACTCATTAGATGCATGTGAAAACCGTCAGAACTGACAACGCCATTAGTACTTATAAGTAAGTAAAAGCAAAGGACATTTGCCCATATCTCTAGGTGTACTGGACATTTAGGGCTAGACCTATATTTTATAAGCTCATTCGGCACTCGGTAGGTGATGTGCTCAACATCATGCCGGTCGCATTTACTTCCCATGACTTCACTCGGTACCCATTTAGGGTCGAATCGACATGAGAGCGGCTTCGACAAGAGTTGAACCCACGACTTTTGGATCCGCAGGCGAATGTCTAGCCGCTACACCACAACGGCTTCCATCAGTTTTGCTACCAGTGTACAATATGACATGCTACTACGCCGTGGGCACACAAGAGATCTCCTCTAACACAGTGTGTAGAAAACTTACTGTTTAAAACAATGAGCTGCCGTGATGACCCATCGTTGTGCTATGATGGCTCCAGAACATACGTGCGAACCCAGCAGAGATCTGAACCCGACAAGCCATGGCCAAGCCTCTAAGGACGCAACCATTCCTCCCACAATTCGTTTCTGCCGCCTGGGCTGAGGCATCTCCAGTTTACCACAGGAATCTGGACACCAATGTGAAACAGGTTAAAAGGACTGTATCAATAGTATTTCCTATAATTTTCTGTCGTTGCTCTTCCGTTCATAGCCTGACTGGCTGTCTGCGCCCCCCTCCCCCATGCCTCTCTCCGGCCTGCTACTAAGTGACCAGATGAGCCGCATCCTAGATGTCATTTCCACGAGACACATCTCAGGTACCTGGTTGCTTCACTGACATTTTAGAGCTTGTCCAAAGCTCCAGTATAATGATTATGTCATTTAATTCTGCGCAGACACCAGGTAGTGACAGTTTATTTTTATTATGGGGGGGGGGGGGGAGTCTTAGTGTTGATTGTTTTGTCCAAGCCGCAGTACTGATTGAACTTTGGTGCCAAATATTTGTCCCAGCCGCAGTACTAATTAAACATGTACTGATTGGTCGTTGGGGCCATTTATCTGTCAAGCCTTACTGATTGGTAGTTACTGCCAATTATCTGTCCCAGTCACAATGCTGAATTGTCATTGGTGCCAAGTATCTGTCCCAAACGCAGTACTGATTGGTCGTTGGTGCCATTTATCTGTCCCAGCCACAGTACTGATTGGTCGTTGGTGCCATTTATCTGTCCCAAACGCAGTACTGATTGGTCGTTGGTGCCATTTATCTGTCCCAGCCGCAGTACTGATTGGTCGTTAGTGCTATTTATCTGTCCCAGCCGCAGTACTGATTGGTCGTTGGTGGCATTTATCTGTCCCAAACGCAGTACTGATTGGTCGTTGGTGCCAAGTATCTATCCCAGTCACAGTACTGATTGGTCGTTGGTGTCATTTATCTGTCCCAGCCGCAGTACTGATTGGTCGTTTGTGCCAAGAATCTTTCCCATCGACACTGGTCATTTGTCGTTGGTGCCAAGTATCTCTTTCAGCCGCAGTACTGACTGGTCGTTGGTGCCAATTATCTGTCCCAGCCGCAGTACTGATTAGTCGTTGGTGCTAAGCATATGTCATAACCGCAGTACTAACTGGTTGTTGGTGCCAAGTATCTGACACATCGACAGTGGCCATTTAACGTTAGTATTGAACATTTTAAGTTTGGTACTATTTGTATTTACATTGACATCCACAGATGAGTGTTCCATAGATATCCTAGTGCTATGAAGGCTGCCACATAAGTGACTTTAAAATAACTTACCGTATTCTTGAGCTGTTGTTGTTGTGATTGGTATTGCAGTTGTAGTTGCTGATGTCGTTTCTAGTAGCGAAGCTGGAGTTTCTTGAATGCCTGCTTTGAAAGAGACAGATACATATAATTATCGTTTACTATAGTGCGTTTCAAAACTCGTGCTCTCAGACTTCAACAAATATCACGGGAACTCATGTACTGATCAACATGAATTTTGGCATGCGGCTTTAGATTTCACACGACCTTAGCAATTAATAATTTGCAATTGCAAAGGTGCTGCTGTTTTCTTAGAGCGGCTAATTGCTCTGATCTTTTTTGACTAATAATGTGTGCACCCCTAAAAAATAGAATACACAGTAACTGACACAGGCGTGGAGATTGTTTGCAAATAAGTTCACATATGCAGCCATGCGTGGTGATCATTTTGATAGCCTATACTGAATGCAATGAAAAACATTGTTTATGTAACTCACAGAAGGCTATCCTTGCTGGAGATGACCACCTGAGAGTGAAACTCCTATGAAGCGCGTGCAGTTTGATGTTTAGAAAAGTTATCTTAACTGTAAGCATCCTGACAGCTTGCTTTGAATCGGTGTCTGTTTATATATATATATATATATATATATATATATATATATATATATATATATATATATATATATATAACCGCATAAAAGGTGAAATGAAAACTATGTTCGTTTAAATAAAAATTTGTCAAAAGGACATAATTATTTACATTTTGCATGCCAAATTTCAACAACTCACACGGAGCGGTTACTGAGTTACAGATTGTTAAAGTTTGCCAGGACTTCATGAGCGGACTATACTTTAATTTATCTCGTATTATTAGCGTTTGCCCTCAGTTTTTTCCCCATTTCTGGACTTGAAGTTGATGATTTCGTTTCCCAGCTACTGAACTGTGTGTTCGGAATGCTTTATTTTTCTGAGTCAGCGAAGGTTTGTATTATGAGCTGTACTGAAAATGGCGTGTGGTCGGCTTTAGTCGTTAGGACTGGCCTTATGCAGTAATAGTCGTGCAACTGTCTGTTTGTAATAACTAACTGCTTCCACCAAAGAAGAACTGCAATTCTAGTAGCGTAAATGTAAGTGATTGTTACCTTAATCCTGTAATGTTTATGTGAGCTGCTGGATTTTGCAAGCATAAATCTGTTTCACTAGTTTGTAAAAGGAAAAAGAAAGGCATTGTGTATGATTTTTACTGGCAAAGGTAAGGAGTCTTTTAAATGAACAGACAATATTACATTTCCGAAGCATCCCGAAAAGAAGGTAGAAACAAAATTCTAGGAGCAGATTTTTAGCAGATGTCAAACCTGGTGAACCAAATACAGGTCCAAAAAGCGAAAAAAGATGGCAAAAATATAAATTGGGGGACACAAACACACCAAACACACGTACACACACATTTAAGATTGATATTTTGTTAAAAGGGGACTCCCCTTCCAAACAATATGATCTCCTCCTCCTCCATTCTCAGTACCATTCTAGTAAGTATTCTTCTTTTCTCAGAAAGATTAAGTGAAGTTAAATTTTTATTTATTTTATCAAATTGTTTTTGCATTTGTGCATTTTAGTACTAGGCAGTGTAGCAATCATTTTATACAGCCGACTCAGTGTATAATATGCCAGTAACATTTTGGATTTTAATTTTAATGGGAACGGATTTATCATTCTTGCTTTATTTCTTATGGGGAAATTGCATTGGTATAAGTACTGTTTTTTTATACGTACTGTTTGGTATACGTACTGTTTGGTATACATACTGTTTGGTATATGTACTGTTTGGTTTACGTCCAGCTAGGTATACATATTGGTATACGTCCAAGGATCAGGAGCGGATGAAGTAGTATACAGAAGTGTCACTACATATATACAAACATATATATATATATATATATATATATATATATATATATATATATATATATATATATATGAGTGTGTGTGTGTATATATATATATATATATATATATATATATATATATATATATATATATATATATATATATGAGTGTGTGTATATATATATATATATTTATATTTATATATTTGTATGTTGTGTTTTGAGTGTGTGAATGTAGAACTAAACAAGCATTACGATAAAAATGAATCAGAGAAAAAAAAAATAAAAAAACGACGATAACGAGACAGAAGAGAGAAAACAATAAAGATATAATTTTTAAAAAAAAGTACACGAAGAGACGAGATTCAAAATGGGGATCCCTTACCATTAGGGCCTTGTTGTGGTGGTCCGGTGCAACACTGCAACTTCAGAACTGAACTTTCAGGACACAGAGGGATCCCCCACTTGTGCGTTATGTAGCGAAATGGGCAGTTTTCCCCACAGGCTCCACCAAAGTGCTCGCACAGGTCCATATTTGCAAAAGCTTTTACTGCGAAAATGTAGAGAAACTTGAGTTGATGTTTTAATACATACCGTGATCCATCTGCCTGTCCGTCTGTCTGTCTATCGATAAAGGTTTCCTTCTCTATCTTGATATGTCAATTTTTTTATCTATCCGTTCGTCCGTCTATCGGCTCTCCAACCCGCTATCAATCATTTGGTCAATCTCCTTGCCTGCAAATCTGTCTGTCTGTCTGTCTGTCTGTCTGTCTGTCTGTCTGTCTGTCTGTCTGTCTGTCTGTCTGTCTGTCTGTCTGTCTGTCTGTCTGTCTGTCTGTCTGTCTGTCTGTCTGTCTGTCTGTCTGTCTGTCTGTCTGTCTGTCTGTCTGTCTGTCTGTCTGTCTGTCTGTCTGGGAAAGAACAGGTTTGGAAATATAGTGACTGGAAAACGATGAAGAATAATGCCAGCACAAGACTCGAAAAGGATATCAAAGACACGCCGGATATGAAATTCAATAGGCAGGGAGGTTTGTAAGGGACCGATAATGTCCAAGTCTGGCACGGAAATCACAGATTTGGCATGAATATGCTGTTTTTAATCTGAATTCTGGCACTAATACTTATCTCTGGATGTGTTAATAACGGTGTCAGCTGGTATATTAGTGCACTATCTCGTTGGCACGTTGTTTATATTTACCGATCTGTTCTCCAGTCCTACGAGAGTATACTCCAACCCGCTATCAATCATTTGGTCAATCTCCTTGCCTGCAAGTCTGTCTGTCTATCTGTATGTCTGTCTGTCTGTCTGTCTGTCTGTCTGTCTGTCTGTCTGTCTGTCTGTCTGTCTGTCTGTCTGTCTGTCTGTCTGTCTGTCTGTCTGTCTGTCTGTCTGTCTGTCTGTCTGCCTGCCTGCCTGCCTGTCTGTCTGTCTGTCTGTCTGTCTGTCTGTCTGTCTGTCTGTCTGTCTGTCTGTCTGTCTGTCTGTCTGTCTGTCTGTCTGTCTGTCTGTCTGTCTGTCTGTCTGTCTGTCTGTCTGGGAAAGAACAGGTTTGGAAAATAGTGACTGGAAAATGATGAAGAATACTGCCAGCACAAAACTCGAATAGGATATCACACATTAACGGAAACCAAAGACATATTAGAAAGATGGAAAGAATACTGTAAAGAAATGTATGAGGATGTAACAGGTAATTCAAAAACGACTTGTGAAAGTTATGAAAAAGAACCAGTGCCTTTACTGGATGAGGTACGATCAGCAATACACAGGCTGAAGAAAGGAAAGTCACCAGGTTGCGACGAACTAGCAGAACAAATTCAAGCAGGAGGAGAGGCCAGCGTCCGAATCTACCATGCACTGTGCTCGAAGATCTGGAACAGTGGCATTTGGCCTAAAGCGTGGAAAAGAACAGTCTATATCCCTCTCCCAAAGAAAGGAAATCCAAAACTATGCTCCAACTACCGTACCATCGCATTAATAAGTCATGCTAGCAAAATCCTCTTACGAATTATCATGAAAAGGATTGAAAAGAAATTACAATATGAACTAGATGAAGCACAATCGGGTTTCAGACAGGGTAGAGGAACTAGGGATCGCATTTTTAATATGAGAATAATTTTTAAAAAATGCAGAGAATACAATGTAGATCTTCATGCTTGTTTTATTGATTATAGCAAGGCATTTGATTGTTTCCAGCACCACCAACTGTGGACTATTATGAAAAGTATGGGGTTTCCAGCGCATTTAGTGCATTTAATTGAAAATCTCTATCATAAACAACAAGCAGCCATCAGAGCAGCTGGTGAAACATCTTATTGGTTCGAGGTGCAAAAGGGGGTGAGGCAGGGGTGCATTCTCTCACCATACCTATTCAATATATACGCAGAAAATATAATGAGAAATGTCAAAAATGACCAGACTTGTGACAGTTATGATCCGCTCAAAATTGGTGGCAACCCTATTCCGGAACTCCGCTACGCAGATCACAGGCCTCCTTTCGAACAGCGAAAAGGGAATAGAAATTTTAATATTGTCCGTCCAAAAGCACAATGAAGATCAAAATCTGTTCTTGAATTTAAAGAAAACGAAAATAATGTTCGCAGATAAAACTGGCTGTCACCCAAAAATAACAATAAATGATGAAGAAATTGCAAATGTCACAAACTTTGAATATCTAGGCTCTATAATAAACAACAATGGAGACTGTTCGACAGAAATTAAAAGGAGGATGGCCATAGCAATGCAAAGATTGAACAGCCTTAAATGTCTATGGTTAAGCACCATCAAGGAGACAAAAATTAGAATTTTGAGAGCATGCATCTTCCCTGTGGCTACATATGGATGTGAGTCGTGGACTATCTCTCAGTCCTTAAGAAAGAGAATAGGGGCTTTTGAGCTGAAATGCTATAGAATGATTCTCAGAATATCTTGGACAAAGAAGATGAGAAATACTGACATCTTAAAAGATCTAAACATCAAGGAAGATTGGCTAATAAACAGCATCTTGTCTCAGAAGCTGAAATATTTTGGTCATATCAAGCGCCACGACCAGGAAGGAGGGGCAGGGGCCGACCGACACGAAGATGGGCACAGGATATAAGTGACTCCTTGAGTATGAAAGTTCATGAGGCGGGAGAACTGGCAAGAGACCGAGTTTCTTACAGGCAGACTGTGATGAGAGCGACGTTCTGCAAAGGACCTGCTACATGATGATGAACTTGCTACAGACAAGTACCATTCAACCCGATATGCAGCGGACTGGGAATTCTGCTGCCCTGCATTACTTCAGTTTTAGTAGTATTTTTTTTTTTTTTTCATTTCATGTTATATCTTCTGCGTGTTGAACTCAGCCTCTTGAAATGTTTGTTCAAATGTTCTTGCAGTCTACGCCCTCATTATAGAATAGGCATTGATGGTCTAGAAACAGTAGCCCGTTTATTGTGTGAGCATGGAATTCTTCCTCCGGAAAGTAGTTTCTCAATTTGTTGATTGTATGGGTCGTCTGCTTTAAAGCTGGCTTCTTTTCATGTTCTGTCTATACATAGAGTAAATAAGATAGGAGAGAGCATACAAATTTGCCTCACTCCTGCACAAGACGTAAAGTAGGTAAAAGTATTTGAAAAAGAATAAATAATGCCAAAGCAAAATGACTGAATGGTCAACGTGAAAGAATTCGGGGTTCAAATTGTGTAGTTTAATTCTCTAAGACTAAGTCAAAACAATGGTCTTAGTATGAACAGCAGAAAAACCGAGGTAATGGTAATTATACAGAAAATGGACCCTACAAAAAGCAGCATCAACGTTAATCGGACAATCCTCAAGCAGGCTGATACTTCTGTGTATCGTTGACTTCCTGATAACAGCAAATTTATCACCCGAGCCATCTGAGAAGCAAAAGACAAATACAGAAAATTACGACACTGGGCTACAACCTGATATCACTGAGATCTATCTATCTTCTTTTACCCCACCAGGCGATAAACACCCGATGACACAAAGTTCCACCATGCAGATGAGGATCACCCATGGAGAGGTCCCAGGAACCGCGTTCAGCCATCAGACCATATTTATAGCCGGGCTATATTGCGGCCCCTGGCAAGAGCCAGAGTAGGGCTTCAAACAGCGAAAAATTACATCCCACAAGGGCATGACAGAATTATTACTGAGACGACAAAAGAAGAAGAAGATAACAGCAGATGGAAGATGTATTAAGGAAGTTAAATGAAGAATAGCTCAAGCAAAAGCAGCTTTTGCCAAATGAAAAAAAAAAAAAATATTGTCAACAATCTTTCTATATCAATTGGGACGAAAAAAAAAAAAAGAATTATCAAAAGCTATATGAAACCTATCCTAATGTACAGACGTGAAACAAGGACAGCTGGACAATGCGTGACAAATAATTTAGAAACTGTGAAGATGTGGTTTGATAGACGTATGATTAGAATACTCTGGAGAGGTATGAGTACCGAAGAAGTCTTGAAAGAAACTAACAATTTATGTACATTCTTTGATCATGACATGTCCCTAATCTAATTCCCAAGGTTCGGGAGCCCATTCTTAGCGGCAGAAACAGAAACAATTAAAATGGCAAGACATCTTTTACCGGGTTCAGAAAAAAAAAATGCCTGACTGTGTTTGTAAGTATAGCTTAATATATATTTTTCATAGTTGAAATAAAACAAAACTCACCCTCTTCGTCTGTAAATGGTACTCCATCAACACCTGAAACCAACATTCGTTATTAGATTTTTTTTTAAAAACATAATCGATTGGTCATTCCTTGCCCACTTCAATAATCTGAATTTGATTCCCCAGCTTTCATGTGCAGATTTTCCCCTCAGGAAGTTTTGCTAGTGTATCTAGTATGGCATTAGAATATGGATATGGATTTATTGTAATTGGCATCATTTTGATCATCAGTGTCATCATCACAAGCATTATTACGCGTTGTTTTCACAAGCTTTTTCATCAAGTGGTTTGGCCATCTCGTTAGAATGCACCAAAATCAAATACCATCACAAGCACTACATCTCAGAAGATTAACTACAAGAAGGCCGCGGAAAACATGGATCGACAACATTAAAGACACTCTACGCCTTCACGGCATGACAATAACCAGTGGCAGCCAACGTTCACTGGATCGCAAATTATTCCTCCCCACGGCGCGTAACGGCAGAAGTGGTTTTTGATGATGATGATGATGTTTTCACAAGCGTGGGTAATTAATTCTCGACATCTCACAATATCACAAGACTCAGATAGTCTCGTGTTTCATGTTCCTTTGATGCTCTAGGCTAAGACATCTCAGAATGTTTTTTTTGGAGGGGGGGGGGGGGGGGGGGCTACCATTACTGCCCTGCTGCTGTTCCTACTGATGCTTCACCTTCTCCTTCTTATTGTAAACATATCCTATCAGTGGATGTATGCTATTTCGCAAACATACCCTGTCTATGTAAGTACAAACTTTTCCCTCAAATATATCCTGCCTATGTGTGAGCAAACTTTATCAAAAATATCCTGTCTATGTATGTGCACACGTTCTCAAATATACCTTGTCTGTCTGTAAGCACTATTTCTTAGACACATCCTCTCTATGTATGTGAACAGTTTCTTTGCTATAACCCGTTTATGTATGTACATAATCTCTTAAACATATCCCATTTACGTATATTCAAAACTTCTTACACATTTCTTGTCTATGTTTGTGCGCAATTTCTCAGACATCACCCTTTTATGAATGCCAACAATTTATTAACCTATGCTGACTTTGTGCGCAGACGTTCACAAACTCCTCACACTTATGTCATCAATATCAAGTGCCTTGCCAGCTGGCGTAGGCGTTCATGCGTCGCCACAGATCTCTGTCTTTGGTGTTCTGGATCAATTCTACTGATAATATTTTTCTATACCACTGTCTTAAACCATCCACCCACAATTTCTCTTGGTCTGCCTCTGCCACTTCTACCAGTGATATTTCTAGTCGTCACGATATTTTACAGTGCTTCTTTTCTCATCACATGTTGAAAGAACTTTGTTTGTCTCCTTCTCATTGTTGTATATGAACTGAACTGAATTTCTACCCCACCAGGACATCACACAAGCGATAACCACCCGATGACACAAAGTGCCACCATGCGGATGAGGATCGCCGTGGAGAGGTCCCAGAAACCGCGTTCAGACATTTGGCCATATATATGGCCTGCCTATATTGCGGCCCCTGGCAAAAGCCAGAGTAGGGCTTCAAATGACAAAAAATTTCGTCCTAAAAAGGACGAAATTGGATATATTAGGATATGATATTGTTGTATATAATGTTCTACTTTTATTCAATGTTGGCTATTCTGGCAGTCCAAGGTATTCTCAACATCCTTCTCAAGAACCACATATCAGTTGCATTTAAAATCTTCCTAATTTGTTTACTTTTCATACTGAGACAATTAGTTTTAAAAAAAAAAAGCTTGTTTACACAAGTACACTGCTTCTCAAACCACAAACATAACTTACCTCTCTTTTGTCCACTAAAAATCAAATAGAATAACAACACGAAAGATATCTCTCCAACGATTGCCATAATAGTGGACGATTCTTACTTTACAGTTAGTGCTGCTTTTTACCGTTACAGTGTCTTTGCTTTCCGTTCGACAGCTGCTTCACAGTTATGATGATACAGTTGCACTACTGCATATCTTTCTGTGCTTGTCAAAAATGTTTACTTTAAGCAGACCAAACTGTTCTTTCCCCCACTATGCTTAGCGAAGTGAATCAACAATTTCAAAATATACAACCGATCAAAATATAAAACTCCCAAAAACACTGTCGCATTAGCATAGGGTTTGGCGCACTGGCGTACGGTTTGGCGCATTGGCGGACGGTCTGGCTCACTGGCATACGTTGCAAGAACAATATTCATATGTCATAATCAACAAATTATAAATGATCTACATGGTCAATATCACGCTGGCCACCTTTATTTGAAGTGATATTTTCTAGTACCAGCTGTAAGCTGAGTCAACCTGGCGGTACAGGTTATTAAAAAAAAAAATCTGCTCCACTATGGATTCTTCATCTGCTTTTACTGTTCAAAGGGCGGTTGGCATGTTGTGGTTTACAGCTAGATTGTGATATCTGCGCTTTTCGACCGAACATTTTTGTTTAAGCAAATCTCTAATTAGTTTGCTAGTCACCTTATTCAGCTTGGTTGACATCAGAGCCATACTTGTCGACCAGATGACACTTAATTATTGGTGTGCCTAGCATTACACCAACCGTCTTTTTACTACAGGGAAAACAATAATTCTTCTCTTGCATGACCACCAGACCAGAGGTTAGGTTTGAGGTTTGAACAACGGATCAACATCATGGCATACGAGTAGTAACCCATAAGTGCTCCGTTCTACTTCTAACTCAAATCTGAATCCGAAGCACCGGCGAGGATCGTGATATATTTTGGGTAGATTTTTAATTTGTCTTACTACCCCGAGACCAGGGAATATTACTAGAAATCCCAGCCTTCACAGGGGCCTGAACCCGGGATCTCTAGCACTTTAGAGGACAGCATACTTCGAGACCACACAACACCCTAAGAAAGGTTAGCATGCCGATTACTGTACGCTCTTTGTTCTCTACACTGAGATGAAGTCTTATGAAACTGTTTTCATCCAGTGCATTTCCAGTAATGTCACTTTTAATGCCTGTCCGAGTCATAAACAGTTCATCATCATCATTCTTCTTCTTCTTCTGTTGTCCCCCTCCTCCTTCTCGTTCTTCTCGTTCTTCTTCTTCTTCTTCTTCTTCTTCTTCTTCTTCTTCTTCTTCTTCTTCTTCTTCTTCTTCTTCTTCTTCTTCTTCTTCTTCTTCTTCTTCCTCCTCCTTCTTCTTCTTCTTCTTCTTCTTCTTCTTCTTCTTCTTCTTCTTCTTCTTCTTCTTCTTCTTCTTCTTCTTCTTCTTCTTCTTCTTCTTCTTCTTCTTCTTCATCTTCTTCTTCTTCTTCTTCTTCTTCTTCTTCTTCTTCTTTCTTCTTCTTCTTCTTCTTCTTCTTCTTCTTCTTCTTCTTCTTCTTCTTCTTCTTCTTCTTCTTCTTCTTCTTCTTCTTCTTCTTCTTCTTCTTCTTCTTCTTCTTCTTCTTCTTCTTCTTCTGCTTCAGCTTCTGCTTCTTCTTCTTCTTTTTCATCATCTTCATCATCGGCATACCATTACTGCTAATACTACTGTAAAAAAAAATATTAATAATATCATTAACAGTACTGCTAATACTAAAAATAGGAAGAAATAACAATAACATTAATACTACCACCACCACTACTACTACTACTACTACTTCCAACACCACCAACACCACTACTACTACTACTTCCAACACCACCAACACCACTACTACTACTACCAACACCACCACTACTACTACTACTACTACTACTACTTCTACTACTACTACTACTACTACTACAACTACTACTACCACTAATACTACTACTACCAACACCACTACTACTACTACCACTACCACTACTACTACTACCAACACCACTACTACTACTACTACCACCACCACTACTACTACTACCACTACTACCACTACTACTACTACTACTATTACCACTACTACTACTACCACCACCACTAATACTCCTACTACTACTACTACTACTACTACTACTACTACTACTACTACTACTACTACTACTACCAATACTACCACTACTACTACTACTACTACTACTATTACCACTACTACTACTACTACTACTAACCCTACTACCACTAACCCTACTACTAACTCCTACTACTACTACTACTACTACTACTACTACTACTACTACTACTAATACTACCACTGCTACTACTACTACTACTAACTACTAACCCTACTACTACTACTGCTACTACCACCACCACCAACGCCTAACTACTAACCCTAACCCTAACCCTAACCCTACTCCTAACCCTAAACCCTAACCCTACCCTAACCTAACCTAACCCTAACCTCTGACCTAACCCTAACCCTAACCCTACTACCTAACCCTACCCCTAACCCTAAACCCTAACCCTAACCCTAACCCTAACCCCTAACCCTACCCTAACCCTAACCCTAACCCTAACCTAACCCTACACCTAACCCTAACCCTAACCCCTAACCTAACCCTAACCCTAACCCTAACCCTAACCTAACCCTACCCTAACCCTACACCCTAACTCCCTACCCCTAACCCTAACCCTAACTAACCCTACCCTAACCCTAACCCTAACCCTATCCCTAACCCTACCTACCCTAACCCTAATACCCTAACCCTAACCCTAACCCTAACCCTAACCCTACCCTAACCCTAACCTAACCCTAACCCTAACCCTAACCGCTACCCTAACCCTAACCCTAGACCCTAACCCTAAACCCTAACCCTAACCCTCAACCCCATACCCTAACCCTAACCCTAAACCCTAACCCTAACCCTAACCCTAACCCTACCCTAACCTACTAACCCTAACCCTAACCCTAACCCTAACCCTAACCCTAACCTAACCTAACCCTAACCCTAACCCTAACCCTAACCCTAACCCTAACCCTAACCCTAACCCTAACCTAACCCTAACCCTAACGCCAGGAACCCAACCCTAACCCTAACCCTAACCCTACCCCCTAACCCAACCCTAACCCTAACCCTAACCCTAACCCTTAACCCTAACCCTAACCCTAGACCCTAACCCTAACCCTA